GCTGCCAGCAAAGTTTCTTTGTGAGCAAAGTAATGAAATCTTACGATAACATCCTTAGGGACTTCTTTTGATAGATGCGCAGGCCGTGGGAGTCTGTGCATACGATCATAAGCCCATGCGGAGTTAGGTAGGCCCGGGACCAGGGTGTTACATATAGATAGAATGTGCGCTGGTAGTGCTTCTTGCGTAACATCATCCGGTATGCCCCTGAATCTTATATTTTGCCTCCTTGACCTGTCTTCCATGTCAGCAAGTTTGTCACGTAATAAAGAGTTTTCTTCAGACAATTTCTGAACTTTGTCCACTACTTCGTTATGTGCTATACAGAGCTCATCCGTTTTATTTTCCAGGTGACTGGTTCTGTCACCGATATTAGAGATTTCTTTCGTCAGATCACCATTAATGCGGTGAAAGTCCGCTGTTATAGTAGCTCTGAGTTCTTGCAGCATTTTGTGAAGGCTGCGTTCCGTCACTGGAGCTTCAGAGTATTTGGATGAACTCTGTTCGTAGTCTGATTGACCATCAGATAAATTAGATGTGTCGTCGCCATCTTGGATATCTTTGCGGCGGTCCGCTCTTTTCGATTTTGTCATTTCCGACAGCTTTAGCTGCTTAGGAGGTGGCATTGTAGGGTGCTGTGATATTCCCGTAAGCTCAGGGTAGCGGGTAGCGGTGTTTCATTCGCTCATTTAGTTGCTCCAGGTCGGGATAACGGCGGAGCTCCTATGCCATGCGTCCTCTCTCACCGGAAGCCGGACACGCCCCCCCTACAAATGCCTGTTTTAATGAATAACCATACGTATAGTAAATTAAATGAAACAGGAATGAGTGAAAAAAAGGTTTAAAAAGAAGAATGTAAAAAAGATAGACTGAAATAAACAAAACCTGCAAAACCTTTTATTTGTAAGATAAAATAATGATTAAAAGCTTGGTAGAATGTAAAAGTTCAAATAGTGTAACTATTAAAAAGATTCCATTAATCTGCTGCAATTTACAGGTTTCATGATTACACACCAATTTACCATTCTACCAAACAGCCTGTCATCAATTCAGTTTCTTTCAGGAATCATTTAATCATTTAATCAAGTGATTGCACAAATAGCCAAACAGTGACTTTAGCGCTGTTGGAGAATTTTTCCAAGTGAAATATATTTGTTTAAATGTTTAACTCACTTTACATTTGCATCCCTCTGTACTGTACTTGAACATTTAAGGCAAACTAGGTGAAGATGAAAAGAATAGCCTTTTCTGCTGAGATAGAGAATGCCTGGTTTAATATCCACTTTAAAACATTATACAATTTGCCCGGATATAGAAAAAGAATAGCTTAAAAAATAAAATAATGCATTTTATGGTATTTGGTAAATGACTATGAAAATGATTTGTTCCAGTAATAATAACAGTAGTAACAGCAGCAACAAGGGAGTGCAGTGTGTATGATCGGTTTAGATTTTACTAGATCTTTGGGACTGCATTTGATAACCATGAAATGTGGGGTGGAAGGTTGGCAAGGTCTGAGTGCATAACATTAGAAAACGTGGGATTTATGAACTTGTTTTATGAAAACGTGGCATTACGTATACAGTCATGCTTCCTAACTCACCACTGGAAATGGATTTGAGCGTGGCTACCTGCCAGGATTGATGATGGACAGTTAAACTAGTTAGACATAAGTATTGATCTAGAAAGATTAATTACTGAGTGTAATGGTATAAATCCATATCAAGTTCTTCTGTAGAAAAGATAGATGCTTAAATAAGTATGCTGAGCAGTTTTAATGATATATTCTGTTGTTTGCTTGGCCTTTTATAAGCAATGAAGACGCGTGCACATTTTATATAAGTAGAGCTTTATTCAGCCCGTTGATCCACAGTCTGTGTTAGGGAAGGACAAAGGGTAGATTCCCAGCCCCATGGCATAGGGCAGGGGTAGGCAACCTTTTAGCAGCACTGATTGCAGGGGTGTGTCTGAATGTAATGTCCACTTTTAAATTCATATGTACATTTGTGTGAAATATTTAATTTGTGTTTGAGTGAAGGGGTGTGTTTGTATATACTTTTTGCGTTTAAATGCAGGGATGGGTTTGTATGTAAGATTTGTGTTATATTGCAGGAGTGTGCTTGTATGTTGTGCTGGTGTTTGACTGCTTGTATGTATGCACATACACTACCACATACATACTTACACAGATATTCATGCACATTGCCACACAGATTCATATAAATACACCGACACATACACACAAATTAATATACACACCGGCACATACATCCACAAAGATACACATCTATACACACCGACACACACACACACACACACACCCTGACACAAACAAACATTGAGACACACACTGACACAGAAGCACACTAACATATATATATATATATATATATATATATATATATACACACACACAGCGATGCACACCCTGACACACACACACACACATGCTGTGTCTCTTTCTTTCTCCCCAGACCCATTCTGTGGCTCTCTCCCCTCATCCAGTTTTTTGTCCCTCCACCCCAGGGCCCATTGTGTGTCTTTTTCCTCCCATGCCACAAAGAAATAGATATATAGCAACACATAACCATACAGGCACACAGAATTATTCAGGCACACAGTCACAGAGATATGCAGGCACAAAAGCAAACAAACACAGTCATACAGGCACACAGTCATACAATCTACACATACAGATACAATGTCATACAAACAAAGACATAGACACACAGAGAGACATTCAGACCCTGTCGTACATGCACTCACTACACACTGTCATATACACATACAGACACAGGCATACAAAGACATACATATCCAGTCATATAGTCATACAGATACAGGCATACAGAACCGGGGCAGATTCAGAACATAATCTCGGGAAATGGAATGGTGTGGGGAACAGGGGTTGAGAGAGGGCACAGGGGCTGTGGTGGGGGGCACAGGTGCTGTAGAGGGGGACAGGGGCCATTGGGGGCATAGGTGCTGTAGAGGGGTGCATGTGGTTTATAGAGGGGGCACAAGGGCTGTGGTGGGGGGCACAGGAGCTGTTTTATTGGGGGCACAGGGGCTTTGGTGGGGGGCACAGGGGCTGTGAGAGGGGACAAAGGCTGTGGTGGGGGGACAGGGGCTGTGAGGGGGCACATGAGCTTTGGTGTGGGGCACAGGGTCTGTGAGAGGGGACAGGGACTATGGTGGGGGGACAGGGGCTGATAGAGGGCATAGGGGCTGAGAGAGCGGGCACAGGGGCTGAAAGGGGACAAGGGCAAGGAGTGTGTATCTCAGTGGGGGGACCTGGCCAGGGGCCCTGAGTTGTCTAATGGCAGCCCTGCTTTTCACTAATGTGCTGCATACAAACCATTTAATTACTTTTATTTTCAATTCTGTAAGACATATGGTTTTATCCACTTTTTTAGGGGGCAGGGGCTGTGTTGGGGGACACAGGGTCTGAGTGAGGGGGACAGGGGCTGAGGCAAGAACTGTGGTGGGGGCACAGGGGCTGAGAGAGGGAAAGGGGCTGTGGTGGGAGGCACATGGTTATTGGAGGGGGCAGGAGCAGGGGCTGTGGTGGGGTTGCAGGGGGCTGAGTGAGGGGGACTGGGGCTTGAGGGGGGACAGGGGCTGAGTAGGAGGCAGGAACTGTGGTGGGGGCACAGGGGCTGAGAGAGGAGACAGGGGCTGTGAGAGGGGGCAAAGGCTGTGGTGGGGGGACAGGTGCTGTGAGGGGGTACATGAGCTTTGGTGTGGAGCACAGGGGCTGTGAGAGGGGACAGGGGCTGTGGTGGGGGGACAGGGGCTGAGAGAGAGTACAGGGGCTGAGAGAGGGGGCACGGGGGCTGAAAGGGGACAAGGGCTGAGATAAGGGGTAGGGGCTGTGGTGGGGGCACAGGGTCTGAGGCAAGAACTCCCCTGCTCTTGCTCCCTAAGGCGGCCGCACACTTATATATACACACTTATACTCATACACATACACACACTCATAAACATACACACACTCATACTCACTAATACACATACACACACCCCTACACATAAACAGACTCATACACATACTCATACACATACACACAAACTCATGCTCTCACACACTCAAACACATACACACACACTTATATACACACACACATATACACACTCATACACAAACACACACGCCTACACATACACACACTCACAATCATACACACACTCATACACATGCACACTCATACTCACACTCTTACACACACTCATACACAAACACACAATCCTACACACATACTCATACACATACACACACACATACACATACCAGTGATATTTTTTATATCTCCATCCACCCTTCTGTTAGCTTACCTTATGTGTCCAGGAGGGTGGCTTGGAGTTCTGCTGGCTGGTGTGAGTGAAGGGTTTGGAGCAACTCCTGGAATGCCCTTCTCCCCTCATGCTGGGGCTGCCTCCTCTCCCTCCCGCGCTGTCTCTCTGCATGACGCTGGGAAGAAGTGACAGGCTGTCACTTACTCCCTGCCCTCAGACGTTACAAGTGCCTGGTCGCGGTCTTGGAGTACCGCAGCACCTGACCGGGGCCCTGTTTGGCAGTAATTTTTCCCGGTGCTATTATCATAGCACTGGAGAGACATTCTGCGGCACCATTGATATAGATAGTAGGGAAGGAAAGGGTGGACTCCATCCCAAGTATTTTAAAATGACACACTGTTCACCATAAACACTACAACTCATTGTAGGGGTTATGTTGCAATACGTCTTTGTGTGTTGTAATCCAGTTTTTGGTCAAAAATATGTTTAAAGGGACACTATAGTCACCAAAACAAATTTAGCTTAATTAAGTAGTTTTAGCCCCTGCAGTCTCACTGCTCTATTCTCCGCCTTTTAGTAATCAAATTCCTTTCTTTATGCAACCCTAGTCACACCTCCCTGCAAGTAATGTGCACAGCCTTCTTAACCCCTTAGGGACGGAGGCAATTGTTCAAGTTCTAATCAAAACAAAACCTGGAATTTGCGCTATAAGTCTGTTCAGCCATAATTTACCTCTTTAATATAGGGATTTCCCCATTTTAAGTTTTTACACATTACAATTTGCCAGATGAATGCGTCTATGTTGCATTTGAGACCGTATAACAGCCCAAGAGTGAAAATTACCCCCATCATAGCATACCATTTGAAAAAGTAGACAATCCAGGATATTCAAAATGAGGTATGTCCAGTCTTTTTTAGAAGCCACTTAGCCAAATTAGCATTCATATTTGATTTTTGCATTTTTCACAGAAAAACTGCACTTTTACTGATGATATCATCGTTGCGATATGTTTTATTGTTTTTAAACACTAATATGTGTGTTCAGCGAAGTCTCCTGAGTACAACACCACCTCCCCCCATGTACAGGTTTTATGGTGTGTTGGAAAGTTACAGGGTTAAATATAGGGTTTGAGTATGTTTGACTGTGTGTTTGATGCTTTGTGTCATCAATGTCTGACAGTGAGAATCTGTGTGTGTGTCTGACATTGTGATTTGTGTCTGGCAATGTGTATGTGTGTATCCTGAAAGTGTGTGTGTGTGTATGACCAGCAAGGTAGTAAAGTGCTGCTCACAGGTATAGTGTTACACCAGAGCTCTGTAGGGAAGATCCGCTGGCCTCCAATGTAAATCAAAAGTAGAAATCCACAGGCTTTACAATGTATTATGATTTATTATGGTCCAAAGGACAAAACAAGGATACATAAAACATAATTAAGGCCTCACGGCAGAAACGTTGTATCCTTGTTACGTCCTTTGGACCATAATAAATTAATTCTTCACCCTACATTGCGAAGCCTGTGACTATCTACTTTTGGTGTGGGTATGACCGTTTATGTATGTGTGTGTGTGTGTATGTCTGTGTGTGTGGCAAGGAGTGTGTATCTTAGTGGGGGGACCTGGCCAGGGGCCCTGAGTTGTCTAATGGCAGCCCTGCTTTTCACTAATGTGCTGCATACAAACCATTTAACTCCTTTTATTTTCAATTCTGTAAGACATATGGTTTTATCCACTCCTGTCTTTAAACAGTGAGGATTTTTTTTAAATCTCCTTAGATTAGCTTTGTTTAAATTAAATGATCAGGTAGGCTTAGGACCATGATGTCATGCACTTTCTAAGGCCTAATTAGCAAGAGATAACTTTGAGAAAAGATTGCAGCAATGTACCCATCTCTAGACTAAAGTCTGCATTGTGTGTATTATAGGACTCAAACATAATCTCAGTGAGGGCAGTGCGCCACCTAGTGTCTGAATGTTTGTACCAAAAAGCATAACTGCACTGGTTAAATTTTTTGGCTCGTATGTGACTCAATTTAGGAATACCCAACAGCATATCTCTTATAAGGATAAGGATATAAAGCTATGATTTGTTTGTTTAATTATGATTTTTGTAGATTATTTTTAATATAGCAGAACATCATAAGAAATTGTAAAGTCAACAGACCAAATGTCGTGTGAACAGTCATGACTAAGTCAATAAAAGACAAAGCTTTTAAACAAACAATATTTTGTCAATCGGTTTGGTGTTACATGTCTTTGAGCAGAGAAACCTAGGCAGCTATGTTTTATATGTGTAAAATAACAGATGGAATTAGTATCTTATCAAACCTTTTTTATTGGACTACTAGAATTTTACCAGGTGAAATAATAGGTTACACCAATCCCAAAATTCTTATTAAGGAACACTACAGCATTAGTAATGCAAAACTGTATTCCTAACACTATAGTATACCTCTGCCAATAACTAAAGGTTGGTGAATAAGTGGTTAAATAACCTTTTTTCACATACCTCCTCCTCCTCTGACGTCATGGCGATGGGGGAAGCTAATATGCATGCACGGGGAGCATTGCAAGCGCATTAGGTCTACCCCGTTTAAAGCTTTGAATCAGAGTGTCAGCTATCGATTAGTTAACTAAGCCCCTCAGCCATTAGGCTTACCTCAATGATAAAGTTCTTCCTCAGGTAATAATTCAATTAGTTCTAAAACCATTTCACTCCTTATAATGGGAATGGCCAGGATACTCATGACACCATAACCACTGCAGGATGCTTTAGTGCAGTGATGGCGAACCTTTTTGAGCCCGAGTGCCCAAACCGCAATACATGCCAACTTTTTTTCTCCTTAAAGTGCCAACACGGCAATTAAACCCAAATACTGAGGTTTAAGTTTAGAAAAAACAACTCGTACTGTTGTCCGAACTAATAACTTTTGTTTTAAAAGAACACAGAGAGTTCAGTGATACAAATTTTAAATAATGATATAAATAGATAAAATTAAGCTTATATTTATTAGTATCTCCAACAAATGCAATACATACACACACAGACTGCTGAATACATACACACAGTCTGCTGAATACACACACACACACACACACACAAGACTGCTGAATACAGAGACTGCTGAGTACACACACACACAGACAGCTGAGTACACACACAGACTGCTGAGTACACACACAGACTGCTGAGTACACACACACACAGACTGCTGAGTACATACACACACACAGACTGCTGAATACACGCACACACACACAGTGCTGAATACACACATACTGCATTGAGGTGGGGGGTGCTGTGTGTGGGGGGGTGCTTGTGTGTGGGTGTGTGAGTGTTGTATGTGAGGGGTGCTGTGTGTGTATGTGTGTGGGGTGCTGTGTATGTGTGTGTGGGGTGCTGTGTGTGTGTGGGGTGCTGTGTGTGTGTGTGTGCTGTATGTGTAAGGGTGCTGCAGGGGGGTAGTGGTACTGCTGGGGGGGTAGGGGTACTGCTGGGAGGGGTAGGGGTACTGCTGGGAGGCTGTGGGGGTACTGCTGTGAGGGTAGGGGTACTGCTAGGGGGTAGGGGTACTGCTGGGGATAGGGGTGCTGGGGGTAAGGGTACTTCTGGGGGGGTAAGGGTGCTGTGTGTCAGTATACTGCTAGGGGGGTAGGGGTACTGCTGAGGGGGCAAGAGTACTGCTGGGGGGTAGGGGTACTGCTGGGGGGGTAGGGGTACTGTGTGTGGGGGGTAAGGATACTTCTGGGGGGGTTAGGCTGCTGTGTGTCAGTATACCCCCCCTCCCTCCTTCTTACCTTTAATGAAGTGGGGGGGGACACAGCCATCCCTGGTGGTCCGGTGGTGGTAAGCACTGCAGGGGGAGGGATCTGTGATGCAGCTCCCCTGTCCTCCCGTGCAATGCTGTGTGGAGCGTTGCCATGGTAACGCGCGGCAACGCTCCACACAGCATCGCGCGGGAGGACAGGGGAGCTGCTTCACAGATCCCTCCCCCTGCCTCCCGACCCGGAAGCAGAGTAGACGCCTGCCGTTTCATTCTGCCTTCATAAATTTATAGCCATCAGCTATATAAGTTATCAAGAAATGTTAAAGGAACACTATAGGGTCAGAAACACAAACATGTATTCCTGACTCTATCTTGTTAAAACCACCATCTAGCTCCCCTGGCCCCCCTCTTGCTTCCCTAAATATAGTAAAATCTTACTGCAGCTGCTGCCTTTTCCCCAGTAATAGAATGTGACGCAGATAAGAACCATTCAGCCCATCTAGTCTGCCCAATTTTCTAATACTTTTATTTATTCCCTGGCCTTATGCCTATACTACGCATGCTTAAACTCCTTCACTTTGTTAGCCTCTACCGCTTCAGCTGGAAGGCTATTCCATGCATCCACTACCCTCTCAGTAAAGTAATACTTCCTGATATTATTTTTAAACCTTTGCCCCTCTAATTTAAGACGATGTCCTCTTGTGGTAGTTTTTCTTCTTTTATATATATATATATATATATATATATATATATATAGTCTCCTCAATTAATGTGTTGATTCCCTTTATGTATTTAAATGGAATGCCTCTGACCTGCCTGCTGTCTGTTGACATCATTAGAAATGGTGGTTTGAGCCAATCACAATGCTTCCCCATAGGACTGTATGATCAGGGGCAGAGCCAGCACAAGTCAAACACAGCCCTGGCCAATCAGAATCTCCTCATAGAGGTGCATTTAATCAATGCATCTCTATGAGGAAAGTTTAGTGTCTGCATGCAGGGAGTTGAAACACTGAATGGCAGTGCTGCACACTAGGTAGCACTGCCACAGGAAGCACCCCTAGCAGCCATCTAAGGAGTGGTCAGTGGAGTTATCTAATTTTGCATTTTCTCTGAAAAGACAGTGTTTACTGCAAAAAGCCTGAAAGGAATGATTATACTCACCAGAACAAATACAATAATCTGTAGTTGTTCTGGTAACTATAGTGTCCCTTTAATTCTCAGTGTAATATGGTGCTTCGAGAATGACTAATGGGAGAGATTCAGATCTCTAGGCAAAAATCTTGTGGTAAAAGGTAGTGCGAAGGATGGACACTCTGTTAAAAACATGTACACATTCTGAAAAGCAATATTTAGATTATAATTCCTAGGGAAAAGGTAATGAGTCCCAGTCTGAACTGGCATGAACTTGAAATTAAAATTTCCCCTTTGAGAATACACACTCACATGGCCTCCTACAGACATCAAGATTTTAATTTTTTAATTGGTAACAAAATTAGTACACGTAACATCAGAGTGCACCTGTCATGCTAAACATGACTTGCCCTCACTTAATCAACATAACAGTTCCATATATTATCTAGCGAAACTTCTAGAAAAGGTAAAAGTGAAAGATTATTTATTACTTTGAATTTTTTGACCTTCCTGGGATTCATCACTAAATAACCTCGCACAATGCTCTATTGCTTAATTTCATTATTTTCCTTGCAACACAATGTGTTACAATGACATATTTACAGTGAGTCATTTTTTTAGTCATTGACTCAGGTGACAGAGCCACCTTACAAAGCCCATTATTAAGTGTGGAGTGTTAAGTCCTATTCTGTTCTGTACAAAGTGGGGTGGGGTAACTCTATTATTGTTTGCAATCTTCCTGTAGATTTAATTGTAGGTCTAAATAAAATACACTCTGCAAATAAGTCCATTTGTTCCCAAATACATCTTTTCGATATTTACCCCTGTTAATTAAGAGCATTAAAGTATACATTGTAGTTTATTGTTAGATTTTTTAGTTTTCATTCAGCCTGAAAAGATTCAAATTGATTTCTATAGTCAATTACTAATCTTGAATCGTAAATAACCTGCAAATGAGTACTTTTAAATTCATGTTTTTGTCACTTTTATGATTCTCAGCCAAGCAAAGTCTGTCTTGAGGGTGATGGGAATTATGTAACAACTTTAAAGGAGGTATCATTTAAACCCCCTTTAACCATAACCACTCGCTAACCTTAATACAATTTTAATCAACCAGGATGATTACACAGGGTATACTGTAACCAACAGGGCAGTACTGGCAACTCTTGGACAGGAGGAAAATACAAATGAATGACTTTTGTTCGCACAAGACCTGCAGATTTTTGTGTGGATGCATTACTCGTGTAGGCAGGGCTGGATTAACATAGGGGCTGATGGAGCTGCAGCTCCAGGCCCTACTCTACACATACTCTTGCTCACTTTCTAATTCTTCATGTAGGCATGCCCTCATTTTACATGTTCGATCCTTTGGGCAGTTCTGGTTATATGACTCACGTCAGTGGCCCGCCCTTTTACCCCAACCCACCGACATTCTGCGTCACCGGACCTCCTGTAAAGGAGTATGGATTTACTTGAAAGATTAGCATAGGGTATGTGCTGTCTAATAGCTATATCCTGTGAGTTTCCATCCAGCACCACCTCCACTAGACACATGACACTTGGGAGGTATGACTTTTAGTGTTTTCTGTTGATAAGATTCTGCAGTAAGGCATAAATGTCAGCACCAGGCCCGATGGGCTCTTAATCTGGCCCTGCGTGTGGGGCATGAGCAATATGAGCTTGACAGACAGAGGATACTAAAGTTGTGAAGTGATACATCATGTACACACAACCTCCATCAGAATGACCTACAATGATCTGTGAATGACTAAGAGATGCAGAATCTGTTTCCTGTGACTCTACCAATTATGACTGATGATGTTATGAATGTGATAATCTCTGTTTTACCTCACCTTACAGTCAGGGGCAGTCACCTCTAGGACAACATACATAGGCAGTCTGATCAGCCCCAGATACTTTGGTCTCCCAGTAAATGTTCCAGTGGGCCAGCTCAGGCCTGGAAAATAAGCCCTCATCCCATGAACATATCCACAGTGCCAGACTAATAAATTCCCTTTCTATTATCTCACTCCTGCTCCAAAAGACATCCGACTGCCCTCTCCATGATTTTAATCTGCAGGAGAATGTTGTGTGGCTGCAGCCCATAACCCCTGCATGCTAGTGGCCTGGGGGCAATTTCCCGTCTGTCAGGCCTCACTTCTTAAACAATGCCATTACAGAGTCCATAAATGAAAAAACAGACTCAGTATACGGCTCAAAATAAGATGCCCAGGGTCTGTATTTCGCAGACTGTATGCAGTTTTGTAATAATTTTGACTGCGTAGATGCCAAAACATCCTAAATTGTAATACAGTAAGAGAAAAGGAAGAAAAGGGTACGCCTAAAGAACAAATAATATAAAATAATACTTATATTAATATGTAAAAGTCCAAGTAATCTGCAATATTCCAAAATAAGGCAATCCACGACAGTAGGGAGAAATCTTTGTGGAGCAGCAGGTAGGATGTGTAGTCACGGGTGAAGACTGGTTGTCCAGTGGTACATATAAGGGAGAAGCAAGAGAAAAAGGAATCCAATGGTACAGTATATTGGTATACTTGATATTTGGTATATTATTAATGAACTACTCACAATATCCAGATCTTAAATCCAGCTCTGGTTTGGAATGTGTGAAGTGGAATGATCCCCACTCAAGGCTATGTAGAGTTCCTCTAATTTTCAGATGTATACATCAGCGGAGTAGTCCAGCTCGGAATAAAAAAAAATAAATATAGCGCTCCCTGTATCTCTTATTAAAATAGTAAAAATATGAAATATACTCACAGTATATTGAGCAGGCTCACTGCTCGATGTACAGCGTATTATATTATTTTATATTATTTGTTCTTTAGGCGCACCCTTTTCTTCTTTTTCCTCTTACTATACTTATCCTGAGTGGACCCCTCCCACTATAGGTGTGCTGCCTATACCATACATTTTTATATTCCCTGTGACATAAATAGCGCTGTTTTAAATTTGTAATACAGACTGAATTTTTTTTAATTTTAGAAAAACTGAAACAGGCATATCACTAATATGGACATAAATACACATATACGTTGCATGCCTGTAGTATCAGCAGCATGGGAGGAAAGGACAGTAGTGCAGTTGTCCTAGCCTAGAGCATGCCAGGTCTAAACGTCTTCCATACACATTTACATTACATGCAGCAGTTGGTCTGTTTGGAATAGCAGATTGCAGATTTGTACTGGCTGTTGTGTGTAGCAGGAGTGGGAGTTTGAGCACTGGGTTTAATGGTCTGTTTGTATTTGATTTTGTATCACACAGCCCTGTTACAGTGCTGCTACCCACAACACGTGTTCCCTATTATGGTTAGGTGGGATGTAGAGGTTTAAAAAGACGTCTCAGAGATATATATATATATATATATATATATATGTTTTTTACCTGAAGCTGCAAGTAGGAAGGTGAATTAGCGCAGAACTCACCTAAGAGGTTTTGCCTTGACATGGCAGGTGAGCTCACACTTTAGTGACTATTGGAGTCAGTGGTGTATTCTGGTTTTATGCTGCCCTAGGAATGACAAAACTCAGACAACCCCCCCCCACTCGCCCCTTCCAAATGTATCTTCCCGACACACACCCTCGCTGATGCATGCACTGACAGATCCACAGTCATTGTCACACACACACACACACATTCACAGACATACTCATTCACAGTTACACTTAAAGACACATGCACACTCACTAAGTGTCAAACACACACTCACTGACACTCATATATACAGTGTCACACTAGCTGGCAGACATGTATACCTACACTGAAACACACTCAGTGACAGATACCAACAGACAGATTTTTATTTTTTTTACATTTCAATCAACCTAGCCTCCCTACCTTTGAGAGTGCTGGAGTGGATTCTTTACTGGGGTCCAGTGGGGCTGGCTGCAGCTTGGCTGGCAGAGCAATGCAGGTGGTCTGGCCGACAGGGACGAGGCAGCTCCCTCATGCGCCTCAGAGTGATGCAGGAGTGACATCACATTCCGGCTCTGACATCACTACTGGGCACGTGAGGGAGCGGACCAGTAAAAGCTCAGGGGAGAGTACTCCCTCGTCACCCGCCTCCTACATCAGCGACTGCCTGCTTCGGGGAGTCCCTGAGGTGGCCAGCCAGCCAGCTCCTGGGCCCCCCAGGACAAAAGACTTGCAAAGCATTTGCCAGGGCGATTGCCTTGGGTGGCACTTTTAGGGAGCGGCAAAAAAAAAAAAAAAAAATGCCACCCCAAATACCTTGTCGGCCTCACGCTAAATACAGCGCTGATTGAAGTGATAAAAAAAAAACCTTGTTATTTAAATTCAAACAGGGATTTGGGATAATACGCAAGTAACTTTTTTTTTTTTTTTTTGCATATATTGGGCTTGATGTGTACTATAGTCATTGCTGCTGCTCAGGAGAAGTGGGAGTTTGAGCACAGGGCTTAAAATAAAAAAATAAAAAAATAAATAAATGACATTTATATATTTAACATATGACATTGATGCCTTTAAACGCGTCACAAACACAGACATCACACCAATCTAGAAGATCTCTTTATTTGTTAATAAAAGCAGACCTTAGAAGTTTGGACAAATTTATTTTCAGCCTAAAGTGCCCAATCATTAGGAGAGACAAAGCGGGGGGGAAAATCTGGCTGTGAACAAAACAAAAAAAAAACCTCCATGTACGTAACATACGTACCACATTGTTTGACTTTCAAGATAACATTTGAATTATCTTTTGACAAATCGCATTTTTGTCATTTGTTTTAGAATACAGACTTTGCATAAATAAAAAAATTAAAAAAAAATGAATAATAATTCTAATGCACATACACAACATGATGCATTAAAAATAAGCTTTTGATTTACAATAGGGGCACATTTCAAATTTATAATGTAAAAAAATGAAACTTATGCACAAGCTGTTAGCCAATGAAAATAGAAAAATATTTAATGTACAGTATTGATTTTGTATTTGCTTTGATCTTTGTATCCATGCTCATAAAAACCGTGCATTATCAAACATTAGTGTATAAACGCATTAGTCAGTGTGCATTGAAACAACGCAACATCAAAATATCAAGCATACTAAAAAATAAAAGTTTTCAGAGTATATAATTTTGGGGTCTTATCAGGAGCATAAAAGTTTTGGTAAACTCATGGCAATAGCACAGTACAAAAGTAGACAACCTATGTCAAAAATATAGAACAAGTCAGACTAGATCTCCCATCATCCTCTGCCGGCTTTAGAATCTGATACTGTAGAACTTGCCTACACTTTGCATAGTAATGAATGTAGGCATGCCGAGTAAACAGCACTTTTATTAAACCAAAAATTTCAATTCAGGAAGCCCTCTAGTGGCTGTCTGGTAGACAGCAACTGTGGACAGACTTAGAGCTTCTCTGGAACTGTGCAAAAGCGACAAAGCCTCCAGAGTCACTTCAATAAGCCACTATCGGGGCAGGAGGTTCCACTGTATGCATGCATATTTATCACTGCAGAATGTGAGGCTTGAAAGGGATAGTAGCCTTCCCAGTTCAATGTAAGTACACAGGATATGTTAAAAGGAACTTTGTAATGCAACATAGAGTGCGTCCAACTTAAATGAAAAGTTTTAGCACTTCTACTTCAAAACTAACCACTAGTAAATGTATATATGTAAAGTTATTTAAAATATTTATAAATGAAAATGTATTTAGCAAGTTATACTCAGGAAATTTACAGACATCAATTGCAAGCTTTTACTTTTTCAGGGCAATTTAAGATGTAAATGATACTCAAAACACTTTGACAGTTTTCTACAAAGTGGTAGTGCACACTCTTATACAGAGCCTGCTCTGCAATGTATGTGTTTTATGGATAATCCCAACATTACGTGTTCCTTTTTGTAGATCTCTAGTATAAAAGTACAACAAATCAGATTAAGAGGTGCATGTACTAATCAGCTGTTAACAAATGAAGAAAAAAAACCAAAATGTAAAAATAGTCTTTTCTATAGTGAGCTTTCAAAAATGTATGAAGAAATAACATGTCAAAAGAGCACATCGCTGTTTGGTTTTATTGTGAGGTCAGCTAAGAGGCTATAATACTTTGTGAATTTGTGCAATAATTAAATGTACTTACTGCACACTGATTAATAAAGCATTACCAATGCTAAACACAAAATAAACTAACTCAATGTGCATTTTTCATTAGTGCGTGCTCTCCCAATGTTTAACCCAAATCAGTAACTTTAAGAAAGTTTGGCAATTTTGTCATGTTTGTATTTTTACACAGGTTTCATGGATTTGTTAGGTCAAGTATATTTCTTAGAATACATACTTTAAAAAAACACAAAAAAAAAAAAAAAAACACATGACATTTTTATTTTCTGATCTACATTAATTATCTTGATTAATGTAATTGGTGTTTTTTTTGGATGAGTGTCAGTCTAAAAATAATCTATTGGGAAGTCAGGAAGAAAAGAAGCAATTCTAAATAGTTTGAGGTAAATGGTGATTGATAGATTTAGTTGCCAATCCAAGTAATGGGAGATGTACCAACAAAATGTCATTATAAATTCATAAAAGCAACCAACACATTCTAAGACTGCAAGGAATACAAGATTTTAAATATGTCCCACTTCAACTTCCATAAAGGAAATCATGTAAACTGCTTTTTCGCATGCATTTTCTGTGTTCTAAATTTACACACCAAAATTAATATTTGGAAAATGTGAATTTATTCACAAAAACTAGGAGATTATATAGATATAGAATTGAAAATAGAATTAAGGCCAAAAAAAAAAAAAAAAAACTAAAAAAAACTCTGCAGGCTTTATTCCAATTTAGTTAGTTATTGGTCTAAAAATGTGAAATCTCATTATGAATTCTTCATCAGGGATTTCATGTTGCACCTACAAAACCTATATTTAATGTATAGAACCCAAGTATAAATCTAAAGTAGATCTTACTAGTTATTTGTAATGTTTTGTTTTTTTACCAGTCAAAACCAAAGGCAACCTGTATGGAGACTGGAATGGATTACACACAGTGTCCTCCTACAGATGTTACTCTTTTTCACGCATGTTTTGTTTGGATGAACAATGTCTATGGCAAAGGGACACTGTAGGCACCCAGACCACTTCAGCTTATTGATGTGGTCTGGGTGCAAGCTCCCACCACCCTTAACCCTGCATTGGTAATTATTGCAGTTTTTATAAACTGCAATAATTACCTCTTAGGTTTAACGCCTCCTCTAGTGGCTGTCTAGCAGAGAGCCACTAGAGGGACTTCCAGAATTGAAACGGACTTTTGGTCTATTATCTGACGCTGGACGTCCTCGTGCTCTGCATGAGGACCACAGCAGCAGATTTTCCCCTGTAGGAAAGCATTGAATAATGCTTTCCTATGGAGAGATCTTAATGTGAGTGTGGCAATTGCGTGGGCGGAACCGACATTGGTGCTGGATAAGATAAGTGTTATTAACCCCTTCAGCGCTGCGGGAGGGGGGCTTGACAGAGGAGAAATCTATAGTGCCAGGAAAACGAGTGTTTTCCTGGCACTATAGTTTCCCTTTAAGTCTTTAAATTAAGGCATTTGGTATATAAACTAGTTGTCAAAAAGACCATCCAAGTTGGATTAGTTCATGCTTTGTGAGTTAAACAAAAGAAACACAAACAAACAAAAACACTCATGCAATTCGGAGCAGAAGCAATCCTCAAAATATTATAATTGTGTTTTTAAAACCAACACAGAATTTTGTAGCAATGGATGGACATTACAATGTCTCCCAACATCCCCTGAATGCCAACTTACAATACATAACACTTTTATACACTGCTGGTTACTAGATTTTTCTTTGCGAGGAGATGCCAAGATAAGGAAAAAAATAAAATAAAACATTTAACAAGGAAAATGTATCCTTCCCTTTAAAAGGAGGAAACATGGTCACTTGCACTCAACCTTAAAATCAATACATTGACTTGTCTATGACCCCATCATACAGGAGGGCAGAGATAAAATAAAAATAGCAATCCAGTTAACCTATGTCCTGGAAGAACCCCCAGAACAGGTCCATTTAGGCATAATAAAAACACTCTAGTGTATGGCACAATACTGCTGAGGCCTCTAAACATATATAGATAAAAAGAAAAAGAAGGTATCAACACAAATAAATATAGCATACCCTTTCACAGAAAGTATTAGTTTACTTAAACTAAAAGTACATTATCTCAGAAAGGGTGTAAAGTTTTGAACAATGTTAACATCATTAACATCCACATTTGAATTTAAACCAATAAATAGATCACAGATCAGCATGTGTTCCTAAATGGGACTTGAATGCTTAAAAAAATTGCATTGGGATCAGCTTTAGAAAATAACAGTTATAGAGAATAAAAATGTGCCCCTAGCACACCACCCCACCCCAAGTGTCTCCAGATAAGATCAGTTTTCAGATGGAATTTAAGGCCTCGTCTTGGTTCCAGGGCAACAAGTTCACTTGGTGAGCCTCTTGGCTACATCTGCATAGGCAATTTCAATCTCACGGTCTCCCGGGCATGTGTTGGTGAACTCGTCCCTGCTATACGCGTTGCTCAGATATCTCCAAATACCAGTCATTGATTTTGGAATGTCGAAGTTCCGATATTTTTTGGTCACCACCTGCAGACCAGCAAAACAATCAAATGAAGAATTGTAGAACCATAACAATAAAATATAATAAAAAACTAGCAAAAAATGAAAACAAAAAATGAAAAAAAACAAACGTGGTTAACGGCATAGTTGAATTAAATTATTACTATTATATACATGCTAAAAATAGGTTATTTTAAAAGCAAGAACACTAATTTCTGCAATCTCACATCAGTCATGTTATTCAAGTAACCATTAGGGAGATAACGGAGCATCTCCTTAATCTAAATTTAAAATCTTAACCTGGGCCACGTCTCTTAATGGCAATACAGTTAATTAATGTTTTGCTATTTGTTGTTACTGCTGCTCTGAACATTAACATTATCATCTGCTCATACACCTAATGTATAGGAAACCGAAAGAGTTGTCCAACTCCACCAAAACAGACACTAAATGCTGGTATCCGATTGCAGACATATATCCTTGTGCCATACGGTTTAAACGCTTTGGAAAAATATGTGCGCCAATTATTACCAACTTTCAAATCTTACTTATCCCACCTTTAACTCAAAAAATTGTGCAATAGCTGATTACAAAAATAATATGAGCCAAATAGCTATTTTAAAGTACCGAGTTAATTACCCTATATGCTATTTGAAAGGTCAAATAAAACCACAAAGGAAGAATAATCCTATAGGTAATAGAAAAGACAATTATAAAAGGAATTTTTTAAAACAAGAAAATAGATCATCTTTACAACTATATAAGAAATGGGATGAGGATAGACCCTATCAAAATTCAGTACAACAAAAGAAAGAACAGGATGGAGGGTGGATTCAAGTTAAATCCAGGATGAGAGAAAGAAATAATTCTTTTAAAAATAATTACGAAAGAGTCTATAAACAGTACTCACCAGACAGAAATTATAGAAAGGAGGTACAAACTACAAATAGATATAGTCATCTGCAGCAAATAAATGATGATGACCTTTTTTTAGGTCAAACCATGACCCGAACAAAAGGAGGCACAAAAGTGCAGACCCCAGTAAAAAGGAGACGACAAGAAGAGGCAATAGAAAGCAGAAAAGAGGAGAAAAGGAGGAGGGAGGAGATGTTCCCAAAAAAAGTACAGCGGACATAAGAATTTTTAATTTATCAGATGTAATTTTAGAGGAATCCCATAAAAAGGTTTTAAATTTGCACCTAGTTGTGACTTAGATAAATTTGAAACTTTTTTGGACATTAATAGATTTATACGGAAATTATGTTTGAAAAAATTCTTTGATCAGAAATTTACTAGTGATGTGACAAAAGATAAAACGGAGGAGGATAATAAATTTAAACATACGACTCTTAAGAATAAATCTAATTTTTATCCTAGCTATCTAAGATCAGATGCTATGAAAATTTTTGAAAAGGTTTTTACTAGAGAAATGAGGAAAATTAAACCTGTTAAAGAACAGAAAAATAATTTAACTAAAAGTGAAAGGAAAGCATTACAAGATTTAAAGAAAAATTCCTCGATTGTTATCAAACCTGCTGATAAGGGAGGGGGTGTTGTTATATGGAAAAAGGAACAATACCTTAAAGTAATTTTTGAACAATTACAAGATCAGGAAACATATTTGTTATTACAGAAAAATCCTTTAGAGGATATAAAGAAAAAATTGAATAGATTTATAAATCAAGGGTTAGAACTAGGGATATTAAATAAAAAAGAATATGATTTTCTGAATGTAAAATTCCCTCGAATTCCGGTTTTATATGTTTTACCAAAGGTACATAAAAATATAGAAAATCCCCCCGGGAGACCAATCGTGTCGGGAATTGGCTCTCTATTATCACCTTTATCGCAGTTTTTAGACCAATTTTTACAGGATCCGGTAAAAAGATGCCCTTCGTATTTAAAGGATACTATGTCACTTTTACAAATTTTAAATGGTTTTAATTGGGAAGAAGGTTTGATTATGGTGACCTGTGATGTCAGCAGCCTCTACACCATTATTGAACATGAGAAGGGGTGTGAGGCTGCTAGACATTTTTTAAAAAAGGATACAGATTTGAACCCGGAGCAGATTGATTTTATTATAGAGGGTATCCAATTGATTCTTTTTAATAATTTCTTTTGGTTTGAGAAGAATTTTTATTTACAAACCAAGGGAACAGCTATGGGGACCAGATTTGCCCCGAGCTATGCTAATCTGTTTATGGCGTATTGGGAGGAATCTGAGATTTTCTCCAAGCCAGAGCTCGGGACAAGTCTGGTCCTCTATAAAAGGTACATAGATGATATCTTTTTAATATGGAAAGGGACACAAGAAACTTTAAAAAGCTTTTTAAATGATTTGAACAAGAACATCTGGAATATTAATCTAACTTGGGAGATCAGTACTAAAATTGTTAATTTTTTAGATCTAAGTATTTATATAGAAGAAAATAAGATTAAAAGTAAAACCTTTTTTAAAACTGTAGATGTCAATAGTTTTATTAATTTAAAGAGTTGCCATTTTAAACCTTGGTTAACCAATATACCTAAAGGTCAGTTTTTAAGAATAAAACGCAATTGTACGGAATCGGTACAGTATGAGGAACAAACAAGAGTTTTAATTAAGCAATTAGTTGAAAAAGGGTACAATCAAGATTCCTTGACTAATATAAAAAATGAGGTAGGACAGGAATTAAGAGAAAATCTTTTAAAATATAAAACAAAAGAACAAAAAGAAGAAAATAAGATTGTACCGATTATTTTTAATTATAGCTCTCATAGCAACCAATTGCAAAAAATTATAAAGAGAAATTGGCATATTTTAGAGCAGGATCAAGATATTCATCCGTATTTGGGAACTCAACCAAAAATGATTTTTAGAGGTGCGAAAAACATTAAACAAGTTTTAACCTCAAGTTTTATAGATAGGGAAAAAAATCCACAAATCTCATCTATGTTTAAGAAAGAAAAAGGCTTCTACTATTGTGGAACATGTAGAGGCTGTACTCTAAGGAAAAATAAGAATAAAAATGTCACGAAGTTCACTTCTTTTCAAAATAAGATAATACATGAGATAAAATCCTTTATAACATGTAATTCAAAAAATGTGATTTATATGATATTTTGTCCCTGCGGTTTACAATATATTGGAAAAACGTCCAGATTACTAAAGATAAGAATCAGGGAACATATCTATAATATTAATAGGAAATTCACTCTACATAATGTTTCCAAGCATTTTTTGGAAGCTCATGGAGGAGATATTAATGGATTTGAATTCTTAGGAATAGAGGCTGTGAAGACACATTGGAGAGGGGGTGATATAGAAAATTTACTTAGCAAAAGTGAGATGAAATGGATTTTTAATATGGAATCATTATCCCCAAATGGTTTGAATGTTGATTTTGAGATAAATTCATGCATATAGCTTTTTATGTAATTTTATTCAGTAATTTGGATTTGTAAAATAATTTTAAAAAACAATTTTTATTTTGTTTTTTTAATATATATGGGTCACTAATTTATCAATTTTTTAAGATTATCTTTTAAGTTTATTTATCCCTCTCTTTTTTAGCAGATTGGGGATGCCTCCTTTTAGATTTACTATGATAGGGTCAATTTTTAATTAATTTTCTGTTTTTTTGTTATGTTTTATCATCTGTTTTATCGATATGTAGGGTATATATATATTGATGCACAAGAGACTATTATTATGTTTAGAACGGACTTTAAAATGGTATTAATAGCATTTCCGGTTTCGGCAATCGGAAAATATGAAGTTGCTAGCCAAAACCAGAAGTATATATACAGGAATATGTAAGAGACTGGCAGGATAAGTGAAAAGGACTTTCCAAAATGGCGCCGATAATACTTCCGATTTCGGCAACCGGAAAACGTCACGACGTCGATGACGCAAATGAAAACAGCGGGCCGAAGACGCAGAGTGATGACGAATGCGGAAGTTAAAGGGGAACGCCCGAAAAAAAGGCGCCGAAATTCGAAATATAAGGAAGAAGATGGAGATGATGAAATTAGACCACTTGAGAAAGGCTGATATCGCCGAAACGCATTGTGGTAATTTGTACAGGACATTTTACTTGTATCTATTATACAAAGTTATTTTTTAACAATAAAATCAGTTTGGATTGGATCTTGCCTTTTGGAGTGATTCTAGAGGAGCACTTCCAGTGCGGATTCGTTGAAATTGATACAAGACGTCCAGAATTGAATAATTTTCATCTCCATACAAGCCTGAAGTCTGAGTCAGCTTTTAAGTGACTCAGTAATATGTGAGTTTAACCAGTCACATGTAAATATTGACATACATTTTAAACAATATTACTCTATGTTTTTATGTTTTATGTTTTTTAGAATTTTTCATCTGAAAAAGGTCTGGTAAAATATTGAATTTTGCATGCATTGAGTGCTCTCACCACAATTTGATTATTTGCACTACATTGAGTTTTGGTGTGTTGGAGTGATTCACACTAGGTGATAGTAGCACCACAATTATACTCTTTTTCCTAAAAACCCCCTAGTTTGTGTATAATTACCCTATATGCCCAATGACTAAAGCTTATATAACCGATTCAAGAGAAAGCTGAAGTAGTACTTTCACTAAATAATCTCACCACTAGAGGTCATCAACATTCTCTATTTAGAAGGAATTGGGTAGTAAGGAAAGGGCAGGTTAAGTACCTAAATGAAATGAAAAATACGGGGAAAAAAAATCAAATTGATTTTATCCAAAAATCACACTAAACTTGATAATTTTGCAGATCTAGTGTAACGCCCTGTGCACAAATATTAAGGGTTCCCTTTCCTAGACATCGAATGAATCTAAAACAGGGCTCAGAATTAACATTTACTCCTGGTGATCATGCTCTGCTTGTAGTGGGAGTAACTTAAGACCTGGTTCATAGCATACTACTTCAGAGTTAAAGGGACATTACATACCCCTAAATTACTTTAGCTTGCTAGAAAGCTTTGTGTGTGAACTAGGTGTGCTTTTTCCTCCCATTTTGTAAATAATTTAGACTTCAATGACAGATGCCTTCCAAATACACAATGGCACGAGACAGGGATGCCCCCTCTCACCACTCCTGTTCGTTCTTGCCCTCGAACCGTTCCTTACACACATCCGAAATAACACAGACATAACCGGCCTAACGACAGGTAACACGCACCACAAAGTGGCCGCCTACGCGGACCTTTTAATCTTTATTATAACCAACCCTGAAATCTCCCTCCCAAATATCCAGAAAGACCTACAGGTATATGGAGAAATATCCAACCTGAAAATCAATAACAGTAAATCGTTCATTCTCAATATTAGCATCCCTACTGCAAGGGCGAACCCTCTCCCACACAGCTTCCCCTTCCAGTGGACTGAGCACAGAATTAGATACTTGGGAGTCTGGTTGACTAGGCAGAGCGGAGACATACTTAAGGAAAACTTTACAAACACACTTCAGACATTTCAAAAAGACATGCGGGAATGGTCATATCCACACATCTCCTGGCTGGGGAGAGTACAAGTAATAAAAATGAACTTCTTACCACGCCTCCTCTATCTCTTCCAAACCATACCCATCGAGCTCCCGAGCCCCTTTTTTAAAACCCTCAGAACAGAAATGATCAGATACGTATGGAACGGGGGGAAACCCAGGGTGAAATTCACCACCCTGACGCGGCCTAAAGATAAAGGAGGCTTAGCCCTCCCAGACTTCCACCTATACTATGTGGCCACACACCTACAGAGAGTTGTAGAGTGGACAAAAGACAGGGTACACAAATTGTGGAAGACGGTGGAGGAGACGGAGGCGGGTAGACCAATCTCGGGACTGCCCTGGGACCGAAACGCGACGAACTGGGACGAAGTGTCCATCTACACACCCTGAAAATATGGAGGAGGGCAGCGATGAAGGGGAACATATCGCCATACCCCTCTCCCCTCCTCCTTCCATTGACGTTTAACAAAGACTTTCCCCCGGGACTAGACCCGAGAGCCCTCAGAGACATCCTTCCAGACACACACCCATGCTTACATCACGTCATACAGGAAGGGAAATGTAAAAAGCTTCCGGACATGATGGGAGAAGTACCCCCGACCTTCATGCACAACTTTCGATACTCCCAACTAACCAACTACATTCGCACCCTACCACAGGGCTTAGCACTCACTAGAGAACACACCACATTAGAGGTGGTCTGCATGCACCCAGACCCGCTCCCACACGGAGTGTCCTTCCTATACACCATGTTACAAACAGACATCCCAACCGAGACACCTGTATTTATGGGGAAATGGGAGAAAGCCCTAGGACACGCATTGACAGACACAGAATGGGAATCCATTTGTTACCTCACACACCACTGCTCCACACATAGTAAAACACAAGAGACAGCCTACAAATTACTAACCCACTGGTACAGGACACCACACCTCCTACATCAGATAGACCCAGATCAACCTGGCCTATGCTGGAGATGCCAACAAGAAGAGGGAGACATGGGACTGCACAAAAATTAAACCATATTGGCAAAACATACACAGAATGCTCGAGAAATTCACAGACGAACCACCCCCCCTGGAACCAGCAGCAATGCTCCTACACTACACTCTAAGTACAAACGATCCATGACCATCCGAATACTTAATATAGCCAAACGAGTAATCCCCCAATTCTGGAAACAGAACATAACACCTCCACTTAAGACCTGGTTCAGCCAAATGGAGGAACTCAGAATAACAGAGGAACTGACCATGACGACTAACGTGACCCCAAAGTCCTACATGGACATTTGGACATATTGGATCCTAGAGACAGCGAAGGAAGGATTCCAAATGGAACTCGGAACAGACGTACGCCAAACCACGGACAGTTAGGACTTAGAACACCCACTGGACGACAGAAGACAATGACTACAGACACCCCCCTCCCCACCCTAACCCTGACTTTCCCTACCCCCTCTCTTCTAAAGACCCACACAGGACAATACCCCAACCAAAGCAGAAATCAATACATATAGAGGAGACACTAGTGCCCTGAATGAAAAACCCATACGGGTTCACACACATTCCATAACCTCCAAGAGACACGATCCTACTGGAACATGGGCCGAGCAGACGGGATAATCACAAAATAGCCTGAGGACAGCAACAAGCTACAATCACACCTTCCCGAAATATGAGCCATAAACCTCTCAACACGGGTACACCGCACTCCATACACACGACATCCAGGACACTAAGTGGAGGCTCACATAAGTCTGCTAAAGACACAATACCCAACACAAGATGTAGGGACTGGAACGTCGCCTAACAATAAAGGTTGGATAAGAGGTCTGCGAACCTCAACACAAATGTAACACGAATCCCGGCTGCTGTACATGAATCATATAAATCACATAAACACGATTTAATTAGTAAAATAAATGGCAGATGGTAAAATGTACATGAAGTTACTTGTGAATCTGGAAAATAGGGACTTGCAAGTCCGTCAACATTGTGGGCCTGCGAGCCCAAACATACATTGATGTTTTCTAAAGATTATGACTACTCACCTCAGAGACCTGCGAGTCTCCGACATATACGTAAGTAATATAAATATAAATAAAAATTATATTCACCAAAAAAAAAATTTAGACTTCAACAGAAATTGACACTTTTACAAATATTACTGGTTACAACCCCCCCCTCCCCCCCACCCCCGGCCTTTAAAGCATACAACAGGTCCTGTTACTTCCGGGTTTGGCTAGCTTATTTGTACTGAACTCAAGATGCAGCAATTGCTCAGAGCACCTGCCTTGCAAAGACTTCTCCAAGCTGCATTAGGAAGTCTGTGATTGGACAGCCACAGAAAGTCTGGCTGGGGTTAGAAGAGGAGGGCTTGCAAAAGCAGCAGACAGGAGTGCTGCAGTTTTTGCAAGCTGATTTTAGATATCACTCCAATGGAAAAACATGTATAATTAAATTCATATTTAATTACATTTGTATTTGAGCAGTAGAGTGTTCCTTCAAGCAATGGCTAAGCTACAGTTTACACTGACACTAATTTTCTTCCATGTAATGAGAGTCCATTAAGATTAAAAGGTCATTAATAATTGCAAAGCAGATCCGCCCTACCAGGGTTGTAAGAGCATAAATGGCCAGGAGCCATTTTATTAATCAGATCACCCAGGGACTCTCAGATGGACTGTAAAGAAGTTAAATTAAGTTTCCTGCAACAGGTAGGAAAAAGATGTGTCTCCTGTAGAACCTTTATCCACATTTAAAGGACCACTGTAGTGCCCCCACCCTCATGTCCCCCCTCCCGCCGGGGGAGGTTAAATTCTTACCTTTCTCCTGCGCCGGGCTCCCTTGGCGCTGGGGACTCTCGTCCTCCTTCGGACGTCATCGGCTGAATGCGCACGCATGGCAAGAGCCGCGCGTGCAGTCAGTCCATAGGAAAGCATTTCTCAATACTTTCCTATGGACACTGGCGTCTTCTCACTGTGAAAATCAGTGAAGAGTGCGGAAGCGCCTCTAGTGACGGTCAATGAGACAGCCGCTAGAGGCTGGATTAACCCTAATGTAAACATAACAGTTTCTCTGAAACTGCTATATTTACAGCAGGCAGGGTTAACCTTAGATGGACCTGGCACCCAGACCACTTCATTGAGCTGAAGTGGTCTGGGTGCCTATAATGGTCCTTTAAGTCTCCAAACAATGTGCTCTTCCCAAATTGCTTATTTGATGAGAGTAAAAAGTATTTAGTGTTTTGTAATGTTAAACCATGAGGAATAAATTTGCATTCAAGGAGTGTAGTGGTATGGAGCTCAATGCTAGCGTAAGTTCTCTTGCGAATGATCACTTATCACACAAAACCCTGGAATTTTACGGCCATGAAATTTTGATCTACCTTGACAATGTGGAGTTTGGGTAGAAGATTGCAGTCTGCTAACGTCATTTCCTCTCCATCCAAAAATTTGCGGTTGGATGTTGTAATGTCTTCCATGCAGTTTTCATCAATCTCATCTGGTAGGGGTGAGTTGAGATAGTCGTTAAGTTTCTGTAGAGTTTTCAGAAGGCCTCTTTCTAAAGCTAAAAGAAAGACAAAAAAAAAAACACTTTAACATTGTGTTACGCAAAAACCAACCAACCAACCTATGGCATTCCAAATAGCAGTCACTGCATTTATTCACTAACAGGGGTATTCAATAAAGTGAGAATTCAAAGAGAATTTAACATTTTAGGACAGTAGTTGAAAAAATATTCAAGTCATCTCTGCTTCCTGTTCAAGTTCAATTTTTTTTGGACTTAAAGGACCACTATAGGCACCCAAACCACTTCAACTTAATGAAGTGGTCTGGGTGCCAGGTCCACCTAGGATTAACCCTGCCTGCTGTAAACATAGCAGTTTCAGAGAAACTGCTATGTTTACCTATAGGTTAATCCAGCCTCTAGTGGCTGTCTCATTGACAGTGAGAAGACACCAGCGTCCATAGGAAAGCATTGAAAATGCCCGGCGCTGGAGAAAGGAGAGTGTTTAACCCCCTTCCAGCCCAGCGGGAGTAGGACCCTGAGGGTGGGGGCACCCTCAGGGCACTATAGTGCCAGTAAAACAAGTTTGCTTTCCTGGCACTATAGTGGTCGTTTAAATTTGGACTTTACTTTTAATGCTCACTTTAGTGAAAAACCCTGTAAGATTTCAAAAATAATCCTCTGGTGCAGAGTTCTGCATGGTTCTTCACCACTTCTAAAGTTAATGTCAATCTTCCAACTAGTAACTCAACTAAAACATTACTATCCCCTCTGATAGTGTGAGTAATCCCTGCTGAAGCTCATGAAAATCCTTGGGTTGCACTAAAATGCAATATTTAACAACCCAACTTGGTTCTTCGTAAATAATTCCCATGTAGCATTAACATAGTTTTTCAAATGCTTCTACAAAATGCAAAACAGTAGCTATAGATGCTATACAATTTATAATGACAAAGCAGCAAGGACTTAAATCAAATGCCATCATTTAGGTTACAAAACCAAAGACACGACAAGTGACTGGTAAAGGTTAATGAAAAGGGTTGTCTGCCAATAACAGCATAGCACTGCAATGTGTTATGCAAGTGAATTGCCTAATATTACGTTATGTTAGAAATACTCAGGTCATTACAGTGTCTAGACAACTTTTCACATAAAATGCATTCGGGTATCATAGGAAAAAAAAAATTTGAAGGACAGTAGAGGGCAGTGTTGTGCAATACTGAATACAACACATGTAGTACATCACAGAAAGCAAAGGACATAGCAAACCAAACACGTAACATGGGTAGCAGAGGTGGAGTGTGGGTTAAAAAAAAAATACAAATATTTATCAGGCATTTGCAAGTTTTTTGCATTCAATCAAGTCTGTAAGGATGGAAAACTGAATAGTGCAGAAACAAATTTAGCAAAAATAAATATATTATTTGAATACATTTTGTACTTTAATATGATATACACATCCAATTAATTCTCAACACTGGCTTGCTCAAAAATATTCAGTAACATGAAATAATTACAAATCGTAAATACACCTTAATTTTAAATACTGACAGTGTTATTCACTTAAGTGAGAATTAATAGTGAATTGCAAATTTAAGGAAAAGTATTAAATTGGATTGGCTGAGATCATCAAGACTGATGATCTCAGCCATGGAGGCAGGAGCTAGCCACAGCAAGACCAGTGCAGCGACCATGAAAAGTCAAGTAAACTTACCTTTTACCTCCACTCTGAGGGGGGCCGGGGCACCTAATATGTAGTAAACACTATAGTGTTAGAAATACATGTTTGTATTCCTAACATTATAGTGTTACTTTAACTTTAAAGCCAGTTCAGCAATGTGTGTATGCCCACTGTACAAGTTCCTGCTTATATAACATGAAGGAATGCAGGAACTAAATCATGCCATTGGAACTCATCCTGTTTATATTTACCAAATGGGGCTTGTATCAATACAGCTGGTAATCCTTTGCTCTCCCATTATTTATATAAACCCAACTAAAATAAGCAGACTCCAAACAAAAAAACACTCCCAAGTTAAGATTTTACATGTCAGTAATTTCTCCCACTTACCTCGAATAAAATAAAATGCAGATCAGTGGTTATCATAATATGTGTAAAGTTGGCAGTTTATTTACTTAAAGAATTATTTCCCATACGTATGGACGACAGAGTGTGGATGTTAATGGAAATGTGGACATTTGATTACATTGATAATTCATACACTTAAGGGCTCTACTTGGAGTCTGAGGCTATTTAATTTGTTTATATTTGATCTTGAATTGGAATTTAAAGGTGTTGCAGGGAACATGAAAATTAGGTACAATACAGCTTGAAGTGGTTGCATTCATCTCATATATATTTATTTGTATATAAAATTGTTAATCAATGTACAATTATTTAAAAAATATTCATGTCTCGTTTACAGGTCCTTAAATACATTAAATAAATAAAAAAAAGTTTTTAATGAAATAATTCTACATGTTCTATTCCCACAAACCACTTCCATGAGTGCTGCTTTCAATTGAATTTAACAGCCTGACCTCCTTGCATAGGTTATGGTGCATAAAGATGTCCTGTCACAAGAGCCAGATTGGCATCCCCTCTTAGAAAGCTCGGTTTCTGTGAGTGGCGTGTTTGCGTAGTGACCAAGTAAGTGTGTGTGTGTGTGTGTGTGTGTTGAGGAGGAGGCAGAGTGTGTCCGTGTGCTGTTGAGTATTTTGTGTGGTGAGTGAATTGCATGTGTGGTCCAGTGAAGGGTTAGCTGGATCACTGGTGGTCCAGTGAAGGAGCATCACTACACCAATATCAGGTACAAACCACTTAAAGAGCACCTTTGCGGTTCCAGTCCCAATTCAATGACTCAGAGCACCAGTTGCTGCATCCTGAGTCACTGAGAAGGGCCAGGGGACTGCAAGGGTGCTCTTTAAGTTGTCTGTACCTACACTGGTACAGACCACACTGCTCCCTCAGCGAAGCGACTGGCAACAGAGCTGAGCAGACAGATCTTTTGAAGAGGATTGCAGATTGGCGCAGTGTGGCTTTTTGCCACGCATGGGTAATCACGTCAATTCTTTCCTATGGGAAAGTATTGGATTGGCTGAGATCATCAAGCTTGATAAAGGCAATGCCAACTGCAGCGAGAGAGAAATGGTAACTTTTATACCTTTTCAGAGCGATCCGAGGTGATTCAGCGAGCTAAACAGTTTAACATTATAGTGTTAGGAATACAGGTTTGTATTCTTTACACTATAGTGTTCCTATAACTTCTTTCTTTATTGACTTTCACGTTTATGGTTATTTTAACTGTATACATGTTTTGCAACATATATTACATTTTATGGTATCCCTTACTGCATCCCTTCAGTATTGCTGCGTCAGCCAAGTTTAACCAAACTATAAAAAGCAGGTTGGGTAAATTACCCAGATTTGTAGGTTAAGATATGGGTGGTTAAAAAGAAGATTATGTAGAACACCTGACATGTATCAGTTGAAACGTTACCTTCATTGGCATCTGGTCGAGAATTCTTAATGTAGGCTGAAAATTTGGCAAATATGTCCATGCCTGCAGTGTTGGACTCTGGGTGCCTTGCTGCTAGTTTTCGGTACCTGAATTAAATATTTGCAAAGGAATATTAATTTCTTCTATCCCAAAACCTCAACAATGTTATTCTGTCAAGAAAAGGGTGCAGAAAACAATATTGAAAGTAAGCATTGCTGTAAGCATTTTAAATTAAACACGTTACAGGTTGTTAAATGCATGGGGCACCAAGAACATTTGGCAACTTGGCTGCTATGGACTACATATTGTAAATAAATTGTATGTATATTCATTACATTTCACGGTTTATTGAATAAACCATTTAGTCTGGAGTAACTGCAGCTAATAAAAATCATCTTCTCAATTGATCTTAATTAGCTACATTGCAGGCAGAGTCATTATTTGCTGAATATATAGATTGCTGGTGTGCAAGCTGCAAATGAGAGTTTGGAAATGTACACATTTAAAGTATTGACTTATTTCATGTGCAGACCACCTGATAAGATTGTGTGAGGGTAGAAAATGCCCACTGAAATGAGACCAGTGTGATACAAATAATGACAGCTTGGAAGGCGACCAATTTAATAAATACAAGGCAGTTTCTCTAAAACAGATGGTTTCAAGCTTGTGATAAGATTAATTACTTGACAATTATTTCTGCAGTAGGATCTTGTAACCTGCATGCAGATGAGTTGCTTGCAGTACCCAAAGCAAAGGCATTTGCAACCCGGTGTTGATACGGAGGACACAACTTAATATTGAGCGGCTTCTATCTAGGACATTAGGAATCTATGCTCTGAAAAATTGCTAACTGTATGGATCCCGATTATGATTTGGTAAACACTGCAGGAGCACAAGGAAACAGGCTGTGAAATGCCATGTGAACCAAAGTACACTAGGGAATTGGTGTATACAAATGGCAAGATAAGCCTCAAGAGATAATTAACTACATGTCTCTGTATCAGTGGGAGTTAGAGGAATGTTGAAAACACGGTTACTGGATTCTACCATGGATAGCAGGCATATTTTGTAACACAGCAGCAAGTCAGGTAACCACTGTGCAATTGGCCCATTACCATTATTCTGTGATATGGGATTTACAGCAGCCCATTCCTGGTGCCTTAATAGAGCTGGAGAGCAAATTAGCAGTATTTTAATGCAGCCCTGACAGCCAGTCAGTAACTGTATCGGGAAAGCTCTTTCAGTATCGGGAAGGCTTGGGCATGTAACTTACTTTGGAGGGCACAATACTTCTTCAAGGAACTCTTCTATCTTATTTACATCAGTCTTCACCTCATGGTTGTAGGTTATAAAGGGTGGATGAGTACCTGGAGCGAGGTTCTGCAAATCTGCAGGTTTTCTGCAAACAAAACAAACAGCATATGCATAAACAGAACCTCACTTTTTTTTTTTTATAGAAAAGTTAAATAAAACATTGTGAATTCTTCAAACACTGACCATCCTGATTTGTAAAACCAATCATTTAATTCACTTACATGCCATGAAATAGTAGGATTTTAAACAATTGATACATCGGATACAAGATTTATCTGCTAGTTATTTTTGTGATTAACCTCTGTGCTTAATTTACAAACACATTTTGTCAGAATTCCATCTAGGAAAACACAAACAAAAATAAGTTTATTACAATAATCACATATGAAACATACATACACACACACACACAGAGATCAAGTTTACAAGGCTGCTTGGAGATGCCCCAACAAGTACAGCACAGCAGACTGATCCCAAAAGAAGTATTTAGCAGGATTTTATGCAATTAAAATTCATGGCTTCGTTGGGAACAACTGTAGAAAATCACTTGGATGTCTAAAGCCCATTTCTCCCACCCCTTGGAACACTCATAACCCACATTCCTTTCCTCTTAAAAACATACTGAGTGGCAAGCTATATACTTCAGTTTAGTTTAGCTTGTCCCTAGGGGACTATTTCATGCACTAAACAAAACACTCTGCAATCTATTTTACAAAAAAACAACAACAAAACAGAACTATGCTTTGTATTCTATAGGAGTCCGTCTGTACAGGATGCTTTCATACCAAGAATTACAGCAATGTTATTCATACGGTTTTACATAACTGCTTGCAATTATAAGAGTGCATACATAGCTTTTGAAAAGATTGCACTGTGTATGGGATACTTGTTTATAAATCAATCGTAATTGAGAAAGAATTGAAAGCATTCCTCTATCTTGCAAAACTATAGCTTTATTAACAAGTATAACAAGTAAGAAACATTAAAAGGAAAGAAAAAGTTACCTGCACTCTCTCCTTAATCCCTATGTATTTTTAGACAAATGGAGGTCATTTAGTTACTCCAATGGCCATTGGAGGGAATGTCTGCCTGCCAACGTCAAGGCAGACCCCCCCTAAAGCAGGTCCTACACTGACCCTTCAGCTGCTGGCAAAGATATCTCTAAAGAGACAGAAGTGTATTTTTTATATACACCCCTATATACTTCTTAACCCTTAATAAGGAACACATGGGATGGGCGGCAGCATTGTAACAAGGCTGTGTATATATTGGGGCTGATGTGTACTGTAGTCATTGCTGCCGACCCAGTAGTGATGGGAGTGAGCGCAGGACTTCTTTTTGTATTTGTATTTACTTTGTATCACACAGCCTTGTTACAATGCTGCCGCCCATCCCGTGTTATTAAGGGTTAATAAATATATAGGGGTGTATATAAAAAAATACCCCTCTGTCTCATTAGAGATATCTTTGCCAGAAGCTCAGGGAAGCAGGCTGAAGGGTCAGTGTTAGGACCCGCTTTAGGGGCGTCTGCCTTGACGTTGGCAGGCGGGCTTTCCCTCCAACGGCCATTGGAGCAACTAAATGACCTCCATTTGTCTAAATATACACAGGGATTAAGGAGAGAGCGCAGGTAACTTTTTCTTTTCTTTGGTTTTTACTATATATTGAGGCTGATGTATACTGTAGTCATTGCTGCCGGTCCAGTAGTGATAGGAATGAGTGCAGGACTTCTCTTTTTGTATAAGTAAAAAACCATTAATAAAAATAATATACATTTAATTAAAATAAATTAATGAAAGTGAAGATGTCTAAGTTTCTTATGTATAATTCAGTTTTCTGAAACACTTAAAAAATAATAAGCGAGTACTAGTGATTTAAACAATGCACAATATATGTTACTAAAAGGGTGTACTTTTTTTTCCCCCCAAGGGACGTCATAATGTCACATCTAACCCTATACCCATATATTATCATTTAATTAAGTCTAGCAGGCAGCAGAGAACTGTAAGGCTTTTGAGAGATGGAGTGGCCTGTATTCAGCTCATTTAAAAACAGCTGTGAATGAGCTTTCTTGTTGCATAGTGCTATGTGTAGCACCACTTTTAATGCAAGACCTTTGGATGGAACAAAGCATCTATAGATTCCTCCTTTAACATTCAAAAACTATATTAGTACCACCAGGCAACACACTTTCAGGGTTAACACTAAAGCAAGAATCTCAAATTTGAGACCAAAATAGCAGAATTGGAAAATTCTTTAAGTCAGCTCCATTTCCAGTATGGCTATTATTGGTCTGATTTGCATTTTCACTTTAGTGAATGACCTTGTTTATTTGCTTCTACAGCTGAGACTGAAAATCAATAATAACATTGCAAAAACCGCACAAGACCTACTCCTGCCATTGATGCAAGTTTAGAATATTCCTGAAAGGGGCACACAAAGCACTATACTAATGCAAAAAATGTGTTCTGAGCAGTTTGTCACATCAAATTTCTTTTAATTCACACTGAACTAATCAATTCATCTGGGATTTGACTGTGGAGTTTTATTTATTGGCTGAGAGCATACACAGACGCTCAGCCAATTGATGAAGTGCCAATAGGGACATAATTGGCATGCCCACTGTAAAAGATAAACTTTTGCTTCAGTTATATCTAGTTTAATATCAAACTGCTTGTAGAATTGGGTGCCACCAAAATTTTTGTATTCGGAAGAAAACTGTTTTCTGAACTGAATTTCGTCCATTTGTTTATTAATTTTTGGACTAAATTCAGCCATTATTTTCATTTTAGAATTTCATTTGGACAAATGAAATCCAAATCTATGTTGTGGCTGCGTCTTGCAGGCGTTTAGTAGATAACTTCCTAAATTGTCACCCTTGAGGGACTGGCATATTAAAGGTATCAGATGATTGAACGGTTTAGTAGATAGTTTTATTTGGTATCCTATGGCAATCCCACAAGAATAAGAAGCCATCTACAAAGAAGGTGAAAGACCAAAATTATGAAAATTACAAAAATTAGTTTTCGTAGTTTTGGTCCTTCAGATTATTTTATTATTATACTTGGTATTCGTAAATAAGTGCGGTTAAAATCCCCCTCCCCTTCCCCTACCGGCTGTGCCACAAGTGTGGTCATGTCTACTAATCAGAGTGGCCAGTGGCTATAAAAAAGCAAACAGCAGGGCAGTTAATTCCAATAAAGAGGAATCTGGCACAGGTCCCCAATGGTGGGGCAACGCACTCTATAAAACAATTAAATGAGGGGAACTTTGTGTCCTCTGTTGGAGCTATTAAACTAAACAGAGGGGAGGGTGTTCTAGTGTCGCCCTCCCAGGCTATTAACTAAAACGATCGAGGGGGAAATAGTGTCCCCCCATGCCACACATACGGCCGGTGGGCCGTGGCCCTAAATAATAAAGTTTTCAATGCTTTCCTATGGGGAGGTCTAATGACGTCAGCGAGGGAGGAGCATGGGTGGACCCTGAACCAGCGCCGAGGGACATCGGTTTTAACCCCTTCAGCAACCTGGGATGGGGGGGGTGGGAGGGAGAGGGGACCTGCAGTGCCAGGAAAGCGGATTGTTTTCCTGGCACTGGAGAGTCCCTTTAAGAAAACAGGTGAGGCGAAAATGGAAAAATTAAGAGCATGAATGCAATAGATACATTGTTCTACCAGAGCTTATATTCATGTACTAGGTGTATAACCATGGTTTCTATTAAAGGACCACTATAGTGCCAGGAAAACATACTTGATTTCCTGGCACTATAGTGCCCTGAGGGTTCCCCCACCCTAAGGGTCCCCCTCCCACGGGGCTCTGGGGGGGAGGAAGGGGTTAAACTTACCTTTTTCTCCAGTGCCGGACGGGGGACTCTCCTCCTCCTCCTCTCCTCATCCGCTGAATGCGCATGCGCGGCAAGAGCTGCGCGCGCAGCCAGTTTCATAGGAAAGCATTCACAATGCTTTCCTATGGACGCTGGCGTCTTCTCACTGTTATTTTCACAGTGAGAAGCACAGAAGTACCTCTAGCGGCTGTCAATGAGACAGCCACTAGAGGCTGGATTAACCCTAATATAAACATAGCAGTTTCTCTGAAAAAAAAATCCTAGCTGGATCTGGCACCCAGACCACTTCATTGAGCTGAAGTGGTCTGGGTGCCTATAGTGGTCCTTTAACCAGCTCTTGGAATATTGTTTGCGTCATGTCGCTGCCCATTATCCAGTGACACATAGCATATACGGACAGTTAGCAGCATTGTTACAAAAGGTGTGCAGACAGGTTTAAAAGCACCAACAAATTAAAACTGGAATTGGGCAAAGACTGAGAATAAGCATGCCACTGATTAAATGTTTCCCACTAGTGATGCATAATGGCACATGGAGTAAATAGAGATTGTGTCAATCTGACAGCTAGTAAGACAAAGCTGTGCACATGGAGAGCACTCTGCAAGAAAGCTTAAAGGGGCAAAAATGTCATGAAAATACAAAGATGCACTGTTGCTATGCTGCTTGGACTGTGTAACAGGAGTCCCAGTGGGACTTCAGATATGCATGTTTTTGTTTTTTGTTTTTACGGTTGATGTAGATACCATAGTAGTATTGCATAAGTTGTTCTGCATGTCTTATGGGTGTTGCACGTAGTGGGTCGTAGCAGAATGGAGAGTGAAATTTGTGTGAAATGTGATGTCTAGCACTTATATTTTGCTGCTGTATTCTAGAACCATACTAAACACGCCAACTCCAGAGACAAGTAACTGGATGGTTCAGTGGTAATGCAACTTACCTCTTTAAGTCAACCGTGGTCACATTAAACACCACTCCTTTTAGCCAGAGGATCATGAAGAGTCTCTGTGAGAAGGGGCAGTTCCCAATACTCTCTCCATCAATCCCAGCCTGAAATGACATTATTTTAAGAAAAATAAATGTATGCATAAAGAACATTCCAATTAAACAAACCATGTGGAGCAGGTAACATTGTCTATAAGTGCATGGTAGGGTCATAGAGCCATGCTCTAAAGGCTGCAATCACCAACATGGTAACTTGCAGCAACACCATTAAGGCTAGTTTGGCAGACAGCTTACAACTAAGGGGTAACTATTCCACGGGCTGGTGGCTCAAGACTGTAATTAGCAGCGGCACTGGCTGTGTACAAGTGTTTACTTGAGGATTTAAAAAAAAAAAAAAAAAAAAAAAGTTTCAAAAAGAAATCAATAAAATTTAGAAAACACAACATCATCTTCCTACGTAGCTGCTAGTTTCCAGAGCTGAAGATGACTGCAGCTCCCAATGTGAACTGGAACAATACAAGTGCGATTGCATTCTACATCCTCTTTTTCATGGACATACTTGAAAAACTGAACTCTCAATGCATAAATCCTGGTAAACACATTTCTAAATTTATGAAGTGTGAGTGTGTGTGAGTGTAATTGAGTAGTGTTTATATTATTTTAGGATATAAAGAAATCTCAACAAGTTTTGTCTTCAAGGACCAAACAGCACTTTGCAATTGTATCAAACTGCTACTATATATCTAATGAATAGTGGGGGGAACATTTCTAACAAAAATTATTAGAACAGGGACACATGGGAAAAACACTGCTCTAAAAGTTATAGCTGTAATGTTTATGGGAAACAGGAAAAGAAGAAAAAAAAAGTTTTATTTCATCGAGAAATCTAGAATGTTTTGTCTCACATTCCCCATTTTATTTATATTACACACACACACACACACACACACACACACACATAATTGTAATTAACAAGTAAAACATTCTCAGAGACAAGAAACCCCCTAAAGCAGGTGTTCCCAATTAATTTTTTCCAGTGAAACCCTTTGACATAATGTATCAACATCGTGACAAACACATACAAACTCCATAACAGACACACATACAATTTATAATTTTTTAAATTTTACTCCACCCAGCCTCCCTACCTTAGGGAGTGCTGGCATGGAGTCTATGTCCCTGTGGGGCTGCTGGGCCGAGCATGCGGTCCCTGTGGTCCAGTAGGGCTGCTGGCGTGCAGTCCCTGGGGTCCAGTGGGGCTGCTGAGCGGCTAGCGAGCTGTGATCTCCCTGCTCAGCTCACTCGCCCACCTCTTAGTGATGCCTGAGTAGTGATGTCCCGAACGGTTCGGCGAACATAAACAAACTTTGACCCTGTACCTCACAGTCAGAAGACACATTCCAGCCAATCAGCAGCAGACCCACCCTCCCAGACCCTCCCACCTCCTGGACAGCTCACTAAGAATGCAGCTTCACAATGAATGTAAAATGGATGGAGGTGGGAGGGTCTGGGAGGGAGGGTCTGCTGCTGATTGGCTGGAATGTGTCTGCTGCCTGTGAGGTACAGGGTCAAAGTTTATGTTCGCCGTCTGCGGCGAACCGTTCGGGACATCACTATGCCTGAGTGATGTCATATTCCGGCTCCGGCATCATTGCTGTGCGCGCGAGGGAGATGAGCAGGGAGATCACTGCCCACTGCTCCCTCGCCACCCGCGGCCATTTTATTTTCAGACATTTTGGAGGAACCTCATTTGGGAAACACTGCCCTAAAGCAAGAATATTGGGGGGTGGAAGGGAGAAGGCATCCACACACTAGAGGCACAAAGAATGACTAACTGATCACCTGGCACCCCGACTGGGTACCTCCGTTGAAGGATGCTCCTAGCACTTCCTGAGGACTCCAAGCACTGCAGCAGCCACCAAAACCACCAAACCGTAGGAGCATATGAATGTTGTATACAGCCGAATAGGAAAAACCATGCGAATAGGTTTACACTCCTAGCAGTCAAACTGGAACAGCATACAATAAATCCTCCCCCAATAATGAACGACACTTCACTTTGAGGGTTAAGCAGGAACTGACTGGACTGGCACATACAGCCTCTTTTATTCCCAATCCACAAACTTAGTACTGCCCACAGGGTTTTACAGAACAACCAATCAATCTGTACAATACACACAGACACTCCCACACAAAATCCTCCCCTCTGCCTGTTATATGATTACTGAACACAATGGGTTATCTAATTATCACAGACAGAGAAATACAGTTTCATAAAACACATCACAGGGACCCCAAAACATGCAATAACCCCATAAAAAGTATATCCTTGGAACCGGGGGATCTGGGTGAACCACATATCCAAAATTCACCCAGATCCGTTCAGTACTTTGGAAAATACAGTTTAATGCAGATTCTGCAGAACATATACAGGCTAAATGAAAAACAATCACTTTATAATGTGTCCCCTGCTGTATAGTCCAAAACCACTGCACGATGTCTCTGTGCACCAAATACTGGCAAGATGGCACCGTGTTGAAAAGTCCAAACAGTGTCTGTGAGTTAAAATGGCCACCATCCATTGTTCTCACCATGTGCTTCATCCATTGTTCTCACCATGTGCCTCTGATACAGGAAATGGTGGCCACCCAGTAACTCCACAGTATGTCCCCAGATGGTTCTTAAAGGGCCAGCAGCAGCACAACACAAATCCATTATGCCCAAATCATGTCTTTAAAGGGCAATACATCCCAGGGGCCATAGTCACATGGCAGGAGGCTGGCAATCAGTCTTCTCCAATGCCCAGTGGCGAGGTCGGTTTCGCCACAATGACATTTAACTTTTTATCTGGTGGGAAGCACTCCTTCGCTGAGTGTTTGATCTGTCCCAGGAGACTAACAGTAATGTTACTTTCCCAGGGATTCAGTCCATAATTTGTGCATGCCCAAGCGCAGATTATGCAGGAAAGAAGCTATAGTTCTTTCCTGCTGAGAGATGAAGCCATATTGGCTGTCAGTTTGACAGCCATGGGGGTGTTCCCATCCAGTTTTATTAAGGTGACTTCACATGAAAAAAGCCCATTAATAAAAAGTTTGTAAGGGAAACCTCCTAAACACTCCAATAGCCCTTCAGCAAGCAAGTGTTTTAGGGGTCTGAACTGTTTCTTTACTGAAAATAAGTGCTTTCTCGCTCTTTGGTGCTTTTCAGTAGAAGGATTAGATGTAACAAAATATTGTTGGTTTTGTTATGTTTCTTAGATTTTTCATTTTTCATTGGGCAAGGTTGCACGATGAAGCCAACACGGTTAATACTTTTCATAAAGAAGCATTGAATTTAATACGTATAAAATGCATCCGCCTGGATTGCTGTGCATGTGTCATAGGTCCTTAATTCTTCTCTATGAATCAATTAATGGATGGAACGGCCTTCAAGGGACAATATAAAAAGAATAAAACTAAGAGCTCAGAGGGTAAACACATCACAGAAATGTGTGAAATATTTCAGTATGGCATGAAGTTACAAGAATGGTTTCTATGGCAGGGTAACACCATCAAGGATGTAAATGCCATTCAAATACACAAAGCTCCCTCAGACTATAAAAGGGCAGTGCATGATCCCTTCACATTCTGAACAGATAAAACAATATCCTATTATTAGTACATGTAAATACCAGCTCCTCTTATCTGCAGCCCAAAGCTACAGTATGGGTTTAAATCGGGGCTGCAGACATAAAAATAGCTAAATGACCAATTTATACACCCAGGACTGCAAGCAGACAGGGCGTTAACGTGTTATACAGCCAGTGCAAGGAGGTATTGTACTCCAACATACACACCAGGACATTAATACTACAGGGAGCGCTGTGTGGCTACGGGTGCTGGTTTTCCAAAGTGTCAAAATTAAACAGAATCCTAATGTGAATCACAGTCTGTTCTCACTAGCTTTGCTTGTGAAGAGATCCAGATGTTGGATTATAGGCTTGAGAACTGTACTTACATTGTACACACTTAATGCAGCTGGAGGCTGGGCTTTGAGACAGAGGGATATTCATACAGTGTTGAGTTCTATAACAAAATAAAATACGCCCTGCAACACTGTCACTCATGTTCTAGGACAGGAATAGGCAACATTTTAGTAGTACTGAGCCAAAACAAGATCTTGAGGTCCCTTGGCGTGCCACTCATTTTAAAATGATGGGTGTATGTTGCCGTATTCTGCTTGTGTTATTTATGGGTGCTACAGTTGCTTTGTAGCATTGTATTTGTGCACATGTAGGCTTTTATATTGGACCGTTTGCAGTATTGTTTCTGAATGTGGGCTGCTTGTGGAATTGTGTATATATTTCACATTGTGCTTTTTGGTGGCGTGTGTACATGTGCGGCTGCTTGTCTGGTTGGTTGCATGTCAGTGGCGTTGTGGGGACGGTTTGTATTATTTGTATGAGAAGAAGGCGGATTCTCCAGCTCTGTGAATATCAAGCAGAGTAGGCGACTTTCCTGGGGTCCATTGGGGACCGGGATGGCCAGGTACAGGTTAAGGGCAGGATCTGCGATAGCTTCCACAGGCTGTCTTACACAAGTGCAGATTCCCGTTCAAGTGCTTGGGGGAAATTTCTGAGATCACTTCCTCTGAGTGCTGCAACGCGTAAATGGAGGATTGTCTCTCATCACATGCAATCACTGCTTGAGTTGCACCAGCAGATATCTGAAGTCCCACTGGGACTCCTGATAGGCGAAAGCCAGTTAGTCTCTAGTAGTGTTAAATGAAACTTCCAACAGTAATGAATAACACACAATGTGCAAAGCATAGGCGTGTACATCCTCGTGCATCCAGGTACACCCTCATCCCAATCTGTCCAACGTGTCTCACATTTAAGTGAATCAGTTTTAATTTTGGCTGCAAATTTAAATTTAGTTCTAGTCAGCCTTTTGACTAAGAATCCAAACTAGTTTTAGTCGTATTTTAGTCATCTGAATTGTTTTAGTTGACTAAATCTCAATATTAGTTGACTAAAATTTGACTAAAAAAATTGTTAGTCGACAAAATGAACACTGTGTGAATGCATGCTTTCTTCCCCATAATTATTGTGCATTATACCTAGTATCGGCACTGCAGATAGCAGAAACAACAAAATAAAAGGGTTACATTTCTTTATCTTTTCATAGAATGTAATTTATAGTTTTTCTTATTTAGTCAATAGTTTGAATTGCTCGTTTTATAGTGGTGTCTAATCTCTAGAACAGCTCAGATAACTTGGCCAGTTCACAAAATCAGAACTGTATAAATTACTACACAAAAATCAAAAAAAAAAAAAAGTAAACAAATGTGTGCCACCATTATTAAAGGAACGCAAATATGTATTCCTGACTATAGTGTTAAAACCATTATCTAGCACCCCCCTACCCCTCCCCCTCTAAATATGGTAAAACACACCCCTGGCCAATTAACATCTCCTCATGGAGATTAATTGAATCAATGAATCTGTATGAGGAAAGTTCAGTGTCTGCATGGGTGGAGACACCGAATGTCAGTCACACTCTGCAGCACTGTCCAAGGAAGCATCTCTAGCAGCCATCTGAGGAGTGGCCAGTGGAGGAATCACTAGGCTGTAATGTAAACACTGCATTTTCTCTGAAAAGACAGTATTTACAGCAAAAAGCCTGAAGGGAATGATTCTACTCACCAGAACAAATTCAATAAGCTGTAGTTATTCTGGTGACTATTCTGTAGTTATTCTGGTGTCCATTTAAAGATTGAACATCTGTATGGATGACCATTCTGTTAACCAGTTTATACTGGGTTTAAAGCATTATTTTAAAAGAGTAGACGAAAAGGTGGATTGAAAAAGCAGAGTTCTACCGTCCAATGGTAGATCAAGAAGAGAGAATCCTCTTGAAAGGACAATACTATAATTAGCTTAGCTTGCTTAAAGCGATTATCTTCTGTGAAGATACTTCAGGGCGCAGGAGTTAAGAGATCAAGTACACTCAGGTTTCCAGAACATATAGAGAAGGATGCACTGATGCTAGATAGTCTGTTACTTGTTAACCCCACGTGTTCTAAAATGTTTAAGGGCATCGTTCCTGGATGAAAATGATATACAATATTGACTCTGATCTTGCTTACTTTATTGGTAGACCATTTGTATGCCACTCAATGTACCTACTTCCTTTTTGGAACACAAGTCAGAATAAATGATGTCTCCAAACTGTACCAATAATGTTACACACACACACACACACACACACACACACCTCGATATTTATATTCAAAATACCTTTAAGGATACACCAAAGGTAGTATAACAAAAAACTTTTTTTATTTATTTACTTATTAAAAAAAATGACAGCCACATCAATGAAATATTTCAAAAGACATTACATTAAAAACAATTACTATAGCGCAGTGGTTCCCAAACTGTGTGCCGCGGTGCCCCGGGGTGCCACAGAAAGGTTCCCTGGTGCTATGATTATAGCACCAGGGAACCTATGATTATAGCACCGGGGAAACATAACTGCTGAACAGGGGTCCGGTTGTGTGCCATGGACCTTTAAGGTCGCGACCGGCCCCTGTAATGTCGGCCGGCTGAGAGGAGGTGACAGCTTGTCACTTCCTCCCAGCTTTGTGAGGAGAGAACGTGCAAAAGGGAGAAGAGGCAGACACAGCATGAGGGAAGAGGGGCATTCCAGGAGCTACTCCAAACCCCTCTCTCCCACCAGGCAGCAGGACTCCAAGCCACCCTCCTGGACATACAAGGTAAGCCAACAGGAGGGTGGCTGGAGATATAAAAAAAAATATTGTGAGTTTATGTCAGGGTGTGCATCCGTGTGTCCATGTATCACTGTTTGTGTGTCAGGGTGTGTGTATATGTCGGTGTATGCATGTGTATTTATCGGTGTCTATGAATGTGTGTATTTATAAGTATCGGTGTGTGTATGTGCATGTATATCTGTGTAAGAGTGTATGTACATACATCCAAGCAGTTAAACATCAGCACAACATACAAACACTCTTGCAATCAAACACAAACATTACATACATACATACATACACACACACACCCCTGTATTAGAACACTAGCATTATATACAAGCACCCCTTCAAACATTAACACTATACATTACACTATAGCGCCAGTAAATGCTGCAGCGCTGTACAGATATACAACCTAGAAATTTTGACTTTGGGTGCCTTGAAAAAAAAAATATTTAAATATTAAGGGCGCCTTGGACCTAAAAAAAAAAAAAAAAAAAAAAATTTAGGAACCACTGCTATAGCAGACAACTGAAGACTATGGTTCAGTTCCTACTGTGAACAGGATTATCACCATAGTGGTCAAATATTCACCTGTATAGTTAGAGTATTGAGCTGCAAAAAGCAGTGTATGCCTGTTCATGTTGTACACCTCATTGCTTTGAATAATGGGAAATAGGCAGGAAGGGTTGACCGAGACATGCCATGCAACCTAATCTTACTGTGCTTCAAGGATGAAGAAAAGCAGAAACTGCATGTATGTATACCGATATTTAAAAAAGGATTACAAAATGTGTCCAAGTTGTTAAAACACTGCTGTTGTTCCAAAGCATTTATATTGACCTAAAAATTGCAATTCTGTTTCATTAAAATTCACTATTTAGCCAATATAACCCTTCATGTGTATCTGTTAACTTAACTTTCTAACCATGATCCTGAGTCTAACTTCAATAACTGACAGCAGACAATTAAAAAAAAGCTAGTGTATCTCACATACATGGCACTGAATTAACAATTAAACAGCTAATTACATGGAACTGACCAGAAAATTGAAATATTTAAATGGAGTCTATAGCGTTCGGAATACAGCTTTGTATTCCCATCACTATAGTGCCCTCTAGTCCCTCCCCTCCCCCACGTCACCTCATCCGCACAAAGGATTACTCACCTAATTCCAGCACCGATGTCCCCGAGAGCGGGGTCAGTGCCGCCACCTCTGATGGGGTAGGCCTAATGAGCATGCGCGGGGAGAGCAGTACACCTTCCCCATAGTAAAGCATAAGCATTAAATCAGTGCTTTCCTAGGGGGATTTCACTGATGCTGGACATCTTTAATGCAGCACGTGAGAATGTCCAGCATTATTTAAGGGACCCAAGGTCCGGTAAACTCTCTGGAAATGCCTCTACTGGTTATCTAACAGCCACTGACAGCAATCTTAGTACTGCAATATAAACATTGCCGTTTCTAACAAAAACTGAGACAGGGACACAGCACCCAGAGATGAAGTTGTCTGGGTGCATATACTTCCCCTTTAAGACAAGGTCAGAAGTCTAAACAATTTCCAGCTCTGACAATTTTCCAGCTTGGTTATTGTAGTTCTAAGATTTGCAATGCTCAACAATTCACATTTTCATGAATGGCTTTGTACAGGAGTTAATTTTTGGCACTGGAAATCAGAGTTCGCTCATTCACTCAAAGTTTCTTTTGCATGGATAATGGAGGAGAATAATTTTTGCATTTTCCATTTAATCTTGGACAGCTAAGATGGATAAAGTGGAAGGCAATCTTCCAAATGAAAAACACACAGTAGCCGGCTGTATTGTGTATGGTGCCAGTAGTACCCAGGCTCTGTCCCACTGCAAGTAGTCAAACCAATTTAGTAGCTACTACATGCTGTCCCGTAATGCAGGAGAAGTCAGATGTCTTCACAGACTAAAGCAGATTACGCAGGACTGCAAACATTGGATTCAGGTGATGCTCTCAACCAATGAGCAGAGGCCTGCATGGCCCTGCTTAGCTATGTAGAGGAATCTAGATATGGCAGGGTGTATGGGGATGTAGCTGCAGGCACCCAGGTAGGTTGTCAAACTGTATCTAAACAGTTTAAGGTGGCACTGTCATGCGGAACTTCCCTTTCTCCTATGGTTTCCTCTTATCTTCTCTTCCTCTCTCAGAATCTCTTCTTTTCTTCCTACCGGATCTAGTTTTCTTTAAAGCATAAAACAAAGTAGAGACTACTTTGTCTACTGTATTTTTACTACGCTTGACCAAAGGAGGAGTTTAAGTCAGCTCCATTTCCTGTGTCAGAGAAAGTACTCGGACTTCAACTCCTCCTCTGGGTCAAAGCTGGGCAAGCATAGTAAAAATACTAAAGAAAACTAGATCAGAAAGGAAGAAAAGAGGAAACCATAGGAGAAAGGTATGTTCCGCATGACCGTGCTGCTTTAACTATATTTACCACGGGGCACTCTTCGCAGCATAACCACTACAGTGAGCAGTAGTAGTTTTGGTGCTTGGAGCATTCCTTCAACTGAGCAGAAACAGATGGGGCTATGCTTAGGTTCCAAAAAGTCAAAAAGCAAGGATCAGAGACCAAACAAAAGACAATGCTTAAGGTTCTTCGTGTGCCCATCTAACAATCCAAAAATATTTTTGTATGAATTTCGACCTACTTGTCGGTAGAACTCTTGCAGCAATGCAGGTTTGCTTTCTTCTTTAAAGAGAGAGAATCATAGCCTTGTACACTGTGCAGTTATTCTGCTTTCTTGTACAAAAAAAAAAGGGGGACCTTTTTATTTCATACACTGCAACGCTCTTCTACCTTTACATGCACTCAAATGCCTTATTATATTTATTACTATGATTTGAGTTTTTCAGTGGAGGAGAATCGTGAGACATACTCTTCCTGTTAAAAGGACCACTACAGACACCCAGACCACTTCAGCTCAATGAAGTGGTCTGGGTGCCAGGTCCATCTCGGGTTAACCCTGCAGCTGTAAACAGTTTAAGAGAAATTGCTATGTTTACAATAGGGTTAATCCAGCCTCTAGTGGCTGTCTCATTGACATTGATTTCCACAGTGAGAAGACGCTGCCGTCCATAGGAAAGCATTGAGAAATGCTTTCCTATGGACTGATTGAATGTGCGCACAGCTCTTGCCGCGCATGCGGCGGATGACATCGGAAGAGGGAGGCTTCCTCCTCCTTCAGCCCTGTGGGAGTGGGACCTATTAACACTAGTGCCAGGAAAATGAGTTTTCATGGCACTATAGTGGTCCTTTAATTTCTTTTTTCTGATCTCCAGTACTGAAGACAAATGAATAGAAAAATGTTATTGCTATAATAATTCAACGTTCTGCTGAAGTGGTTATCACTCCTTGGCATAGGCGTGCGCACGGGGTGTGCCGGGTGTGCCTGGGCACACCCTAATCCCCGTGGCACGCCAATGGTTTGAGTCCTGCAGGAACAGCGTTCCTGCACTTTTTTTGAGCAGGAACGCTGTTCCTGCAGGCACTCAGTGTCCCCTGTTTCACCTCTTGCCCCTGTCATGGGAGGGCAAGAGGTGATGATTCCCCCCACCCGACCCCCCAGCTCAGCCGCGGCGAGAGGGAGCAGAGAGCCGACAGCAGAGAGCTCCCTCTCGCCGCGCGCTGATGCCGGGAGCCGGAATATGACGTCATATTCCGGCTCCCAGCTCCAGCAGACAGCCCGCGCGGCGAGAGGAAGCAGAGAGCCGACAGCAGAGAGCTCCCTCGCCGCGGCTGAGCTGGAGAAAGGCGCCTGCCCCCACTGGACCCCAGGAACAAGTCCACCAGCACTCCAGGTAGGAGGCTGGGTGGACATTTTTTAAAAAAAATTTAATATAATAATTTGTGTGTGTGAGTATGTCAGTGTGAGTATGTGTCAGTGTGTCTGTGAGTGTGTGTGTGTCTGTGAGTGTGTGTCTGAGTATGTGTCAGTGTGTGTGTGTCAGTGAGTGTGTGAGTATGTGTCAGTGTGTGTGTGTCAGTGTGTGTCTGTGAGTGTGTGAGTATGTGTGTGTCTGTGATTGTGTGTAAGTGTGTGAGTATTTGTCTGTGAGTGTGTGTGACACATACTCAGTGAGTATATGTGAGTGTGTGAGTATGTGTCTGTGAGTGTGTGTCTGTGAGTGTGTGTCTGTGAGTGTGTGTGACACACTCAGTGAGTGTGTGTGTGTCAGTGTGAGTGTGTGAGTATGTGTCTGTGAGTGTGTGTGTCAGTGAGTGTGTGAGTATGTGTCAGTGTGTGTGTGTCAGTGAGTGTGTGTGTGTGTCAGTGTGTGTGAGTGTGTCTGTGAATATATATATATATATATATATATATATATATATATACACACACACGCGCGGCGTGTGTTTGTGCTTTAGGGTGCACACCCTAATGCAATAGGCTGCACACGCCTATGCTCCTTGGTGGTCATTCAAGTAGTGCTGTCTCAAAGTAAGTGGTCACACTGTTTTAGTACAGTTTGACAACTTACCTGGTGGTGCTCCAGGTGCTTGTACCACATCCGGTCTTCCAAATATCTTTAAAAGAATTCAGCACTGGCAATGCAGAACACTGCTCACTGGCTGCAAGCACTCAGTTGATGTTCACAACAAATAAGCATAGTCCTGCATAGCTCTGTATTGCTTTTAGGATTTTCCAAGAGAAAATATGTGTGCTAAAACAGTTTGTCTACTTACTGTGGGACGGACAGAGGAACTACAGGCACTATAGTGGTTATGGTGCTTGATGTATTTATTTCATTCTTTTAAAGGTTTAATAAACCTCATTAAATGAAATGTGTGAATATTTATTACAATTTTCATTATTTATATAGTGGTAACTTATTCCACAGCATTCTACAATATGAAATATATCAGCAAGTATCTAAAAACAAATATAGATTAAGAGATTAACCCCTTAAGGACACATGATGGAAATATTCCGTCATGATTCCCTTTTATTTCAGGAGTTATGTCCTTAAGGTGTTAATAGGGTCCAAACTGTTTAACAATGTATTATAATTTGTGTTTTAACTCATAAAATTCCAAAAACTATGCATTCAAAGTCATCTCAAGGTTGGAAAGGCCAGGAATGCCCCCACTCCCCCCCCCCCAAAAAAAAAAAAAAATCTATATACAAATTTTTTTATTCTAAGCAGTATGGTACAAGTATGAGGAAACATCCGGAAACAAATATACGTGTTACAATATAACCTCTACTGCTCACTCCTTCCAGAAAATAGAGTTAGACAATCGCATATGTTTATTTCATTTAACATAAGAATACTTTTTTAATTGTATATTTTTGTATCTTTTAGTGAATACGTGTAAAACTAAGAAAGGATGATGTAGGTTAAAAACAGCTCTCTCTCTCTGACTAAGTGTTTGTTTTTGTTTTTTTGACAGCTGAGCTGGGTTGGCAGTTGGTAGCTCATCAAGTGGCAGAAGGCAGGTAATTCCTAATTAGCCATTCAGGAAGGGTAGGCAACATAATGAAAGATCCAGTGAACAGAAAAATGGGCACCAAACAAACATGAGAAAACAAGGAATGGATGAGGGCAAACCGATACAAGTCCCTCGAACAAAGAATAGAAGGGCAAGGATTATATAGGGTCTGAGCTTTATAAAGTATAGGAAACTCGCCTCCATTAATCATGCTTTGTCAAGCAATCAACACAAATAATGCTCCTTTGTTAGAACATCTGCCAATGATGAATGTTGAGGATGTCACAGGATTAGGTGACAGTTTAATAAATTATTTAGATCAAATATCCATCCACAGAGGTGTCAACATAGCGAATAGGAAACAATAAATAAAGTTGGTGTATAATAAAAACAAAATGCTCCTTGTACTTTTGCATGTACAATAACAAGGTGTTATATTGAGTCACATGTAGAAACCTACATATATCACGATCTTTCTAGGAATTAGCAGGAAAACCTGATAAACGTGTCACTTAATGCAAAATGCACACATGCACCGTGTTGGCAGAATGTATGCAATTGTCTTCTGGTTGTTGAAGCTTGAATCTTTTTTTATTTTTTTATTATACATTTTCCTTTAATTTCGTCAACAATTTACCTGTCACTGAATATACCACTTATTTTTTATGTAACTATGTACCAACATCACGGAGTGGGTGTAGTAAATATGTTTCAGAGGCACTGCTACCGTTTCAGCAATACGTTTTCTAGTACAAATTATATGATGGGCTGCAGTTACATTTAAAGGAACACGAAGAACGATAACCAATACAGTATGCGGTGGTTGTTATGGTGCCAGGAGTGACTATGTCCTCCCACAGTAAATAGTCAAACCGTTAATGAATGATTTGACAACTTACCTGAGGTTTGACGGGCACCTGTTGCACTTACCAAGGATTGATTAAGGACCCCCGAGTCTGAGACAAATTTTGTTCTTGGGACTGTATTTTGGATTCGTATTAACAGAACCACATCTGTTGTGCCCAGACAAAGTTACATTATTGGGATTATGTTTTATCACAGAACTTTGATAGCACAGACCCAGTTAACCCTGCATGGAACTTGAAAAGTATAGTTATGCAGGGTTAACCATATTTACAGACGCTATTTCCAATATTTTTCAACATAAATGTTGAGTAAGTAAAGCCCATTAAAATCTGATTTACAGATACAAAACAGATGTACTTTTTACAGTACTTGGCTTAAGAGTTTATGCGAGAGAAAAAAAAAAAAAAAAAAAAAATCCCTCCAAATAAGAAAAGCTTGTGGGGGCGGGGCCTGACCACCATACCAAATGGTCGCACTAAGCCTGAACTCTGTGAGGAACTTTGAATCTAAGTGATCTTATAGAATTCTGAGCCTCTAATCACGAGCAGGAAGCTACAAATGCTTCAGTAAGGCGGCGGAAACAACATCGCCCTCCTAATCTCGGAATCTGGGGCGGAAAGTCCTGCGCCAGAGAGGGTTATCCCGGCACACCATTGACATAGGGTCCGGGGAAAGCATCAGCCAGGAGCACAGGCAGGAGAGTGGTATTATTAAAATGGAGGCTGGAGAAAACTAAACGATCCAGCAACTAACTCGAGTCCAGACTGGACAGAATATTTGAAGCATTCTGGATGAGTTGGCAAGCAGAGCACAAGGTCTCTCACACATACAGTCACCTGCTGACTCACCTCTGCAACCTTATCAGGAATAAGTATCCAGCAAGGCGGTATGCTCTCCATGGAAGCAGGGCTTGATACCGAGCCGCAGTCTCCTTGGCAGATTGACGAAGCAAAAGTGCCACTCACCTGTACAGTGTCCCCGATATTTTCAAGCTCGACCTGAGGCCTCTACCCCTCGGAGGGTGAGCTTCCAACGGCGCAGACCGCAACGGCTCAACTCCAGACAGGCTGCTAATGGGCCTGCTCCGACACATGCCGAGGCAAGGCCTGAGTTTCCCAATCGGGAAGCAGAAGGTAAAGACACACACAGGGAATCTCAGAGGCTTCTATCTCACCCTATGGATCTCATGCAGTAAAACACCACCTTGGGGGACAGTGTCATAGCAGCTGCTGGCGTGGACTAAGTGACTCTCGTGACACTTAAAATAAACTGAATAACTTAAGATTCTAGCTTCTGTCACACACCTATTTTTTTTAATCAGCGAACATCACATATTTACTCATGTGCTCACCATAATAATGTCAGTCAATGTCAGTTAGTGTCCGTTAGCTCAGCTCACATACTCCTGAGGACGCTATTGACTCTTCGCTGACTTATGTTTCTACATCTCAGCTACGCAGTGCACTAGCTTAGCCTTGATGAGTGTTCTAACTACCCAAGCTTGACCTATTTATATTATGCATATGCCACTACTCTATCCCATCTTGTTTTACCTTACCTATTGTTTTTCTTGTTTGTCATATAATAAAAAAAAAAAGTGAAAGTTATTCTTGAGTGCCACAATGCATAAACGCTGCCCATACATACCAAACTTGTCCAAGTCATAGCAGTATACCTAAGCATATTTAGCCTGTCTATTCTCATAACGCATTGTTCTGATTTCTCAACAACTATGTCATTAAGTGTATTTAAAATGATTGCTACTGCTGTTGTGGCACGGTGAGTTATTCTGTTATATGTAATACATTGCACAAAAAAAAAAGAAAATTAAGAAAAAGCTTGTTATAGACGAAAGAAACCTGGAAACAAAACAATGTAAAAAATGAAGGAAAAAAAAACCAACACGATGATCTGCCAAAATGGATATTTTAGGAAGAAAAAAAATAAAAAAAATTGGCCCAAAACTGACAGTTTTCCAAAATACATCCAACACCACAATACTTCCCCAAACCAGACAGACTGCCTGCCTCCCACCCAGCAAAGCTTACCAATATGCTTGCCACAAAAGGACAGTCCAAAACGTTGATGCAATTACCCTGGAAGATTTTCACTCTTCCAGAAATTTACAGAACACCAAAAGAACAATTAAAATCTCACAAGGAATGTCTTGCATTGTACCGCAAAGATCATTTGGGATTTAGGTTTCATTATAACATTTGATTATTTTATGGGATGGCTGTCTTACTGTAAGAATGCGTTGGTTTAAAAAAATTAAAAAAATAAAATAAAATAAAAAATTTAAAAAAATGCTGTATTTAAAACCGTGTCCTCTGCCAAGGATAGAAGATAGAAATGCAGTATGAAGTCTGAAACATGCCTGTCTATGCTCATTTGCATGTCAAGCTTTGAACTCTGGGATAGTAGAACCACTTCAAGTCCAACTCAAGATTTGCAGAAGAAGAAAATACTAAACAGGCCGGCAATAATGGTTCTTCTAAATCAAGCATGTCAAACTCGAAGTCTAGCACGGGCCACATAAACAAGGTTTAAGTTTATGTGGGCCGCAAAAAAACAAAACCTTAATTTTCATAGAAACACCTAGGTTTATTTTGAAAATTACAGTATTAAAAAAACAAAACAGCATCCCATATACTAAATCCCAGTCCTCCCCCCCCATATACTAAATCCCAGTCCTCCCCCATACTATAGTCCTCCCACCCCTCATATACTAAATCCCAGTCCTCCCTCCCTCATATACTAAATCCCAGTCCTCCCTCATATACCAAATCCCAGTCCTCCCCTCATATACTAAATCCCAGTCCCTCCCCCTCCTCATATACTAAATCCCAGTCCCTCCCTCCTCATATACTAAATCCCAGTCCTCCCTCCTCATATATACTAAAATCCCAGTCTTCCCCTCCCTCATATACTAAATCCCAGTCCTCCCTCCTCATATACTAAACCCCAGTCCTCCCCCATCTCATATACTAAATCCCAGTCCTCCCCCCATCTCATATACTAAATCCCAGTCCTCCCCCTCATATACTAAATCCCAGTCCCCCCCATATACTAAATCCCAGTCCCATATACTAAATCCCAGTATATACTAAATCCCAGTCCTCCCCCTCATATACTAAATCCCAGTCCTCCCCCTCATATACTAAATCCCAGTCCTCCCCCTCATATACTAAATCCCAGTCCTCCCCCCCATATACTAAATCCCAGTCCTCCCCCTCATATACTAAATCCCAGTCCTCCCTCCCCTCATATACTAAATCCCAGTCCTCCCCCTCCCCCTCATATACTAAATCCCAGTCCTCCCCCTCTAGCCAACAAGCAGACTCCACTCACATTGCCGCTGCCAGTATGCGACTCTGGAGTCCGGCCTCTGGTATACCCCAAATGGCGCGTCCGCACCCTGTGCCAAATCTGATCCTACCGCTACTTCTTGAAACCCTGTGAAGGTGGAGCACGGAATGTGACGTGGAGTTGCGTGCCTCCATGCACCTCCAGGTACTCCACTGTCCAGTCACAGCCAATTCAACACTTACACACACTTTTCTTTATTGCTCCCTACCTTTTGAAGTTGATGTGGGGCATCTCCCTGGGGTCCTTCTATCTGCTCCTCACTGCTCTCTTACGCGGTTTAGTGATGCCGGGTGCTGGAATTACTTCATATTCCGGCACCCAGTTTCACTACAGATGGCACGCAAGGAGCAGAAACACTGAGCTCCCTCGCTGGCCCTCCTCCCTGGCCGGGTAAGTTTTAGCAGAGTAGGCACCTGCAATGCGGGGAAAGCAGGTACCTACTCTGCTACAACACCGAGCATGTACTCGCCGCTCGCAAAGAGGTCCCTTGTGGGCCGCGAGTTTGACATGCTTGTTCTAAATGCTTGATCACTCCCTCCTTGCTGCAAAGGGGGAGTAACGTCAGCAGGAGGAGGAGGATCAGGCAGCTGGGAGAAAGATTTTTGGTTGGAGTAACCATTGAATAAAACAATGAAAAATAACCTATTACTAGTTTTTAATCCCCCCACCCCCACCTTATATGTATTTTATTTTTTAATCTATATTTAAGATTTAATAAATTTCAATATAATTCACTTGAGACACGAGATTTGTTTCATCTCATCTTTCAATGCTTGAGGACCACTCTAGGCACCCAGACCACTTCAGCTTAATGAAGTGGTCTGGGTGCCAGGTCCAGCTAGGGTTAACCCATTTTTTTTTTTATAAACCTAGTTTCAGAGAAACTGCTATGTTTATAAATGGGTTAATACAGCCCTCAAATCCTCTAGCGGCTGTCTCAGACAGCCGCTAGAGGCGCTTGCGTGATTCTTTTCAAATAATTTTTATTAAAGTTTTTAAAATTTTTGTATAACAAGTGATAGTAATACAAACATTGTATTAGGGGTAGGAAAGGAAGGGTAACTTGGAAATGGGAAGGTATCCATCCATCATTGAAATAAACAATGTATATGGCAAAAAAATTTGTACATCAATGCACTTTGCACTTGCGTGATTCTCAATGTGAAAGTCACGGTGAGAAGACGCAAGCGTCCATAGGAAAGCATTCTAAATGCTTTCCTATGAGACCGGCTGAATGCGTGCGCAGCTCTTGCCGCGCGTGCACATTCAGCCGAAAGGGAGGAGAGGAGGAGGATCGGAGGCGTAGAGCTCTCCGCCCGGCGCTGAAAAAAGGTACGTTTTAACCCCTTTCCTCTCCCCAGAGCCCGGCAGCAGGGGGACCCTGAGGGTGGGGGCACCCTCAGGGCACTATAGTGGTCCTTTATTCTAAGCTGACTGCCAGGCGCACAGGACAAAGGTGTGTGGAAAACTACATTTAATTGTATTTTTCATGACCTACACATTTTTTTTTAGATATAGAGAGACATAAAATTAGAAGTGACACTTCTGTATTTTTCTGAACTATTAAATGTCTATTAAACATTTATACATAATTAAAAATCAGACATCACAAAAATTACCTAGCAGGATGGATGAACATATTAACATATTAAAGGAACACTATAGGGTCAGGAGAACAACCATGTGTTCCTGACCCTATAGTGTTTAACACACCATTTAGGTGGCTTGCCCCTCATAGCCCCTGTAAAAGTTAATAAAACTAACTTTTTTCCAGCGCTGCGCGGGTCCACAGGCACTGGTCCTGCCCCCTGGTGACGTCATCAGAATTGCTGATTTTTAGCCAATCCAATGCTTTGCTAAAATCGGTAAGGGGCGGGGCCAAATGCCGTTTTGGCCAATCAGCACCTATGAGGAAAATTCAGCGTCCCCATGCAGAGCATGGAGACGCTGAACAGCACTGCTGCCTACTGTGCAGCACTGAGCCAGGAAGCATCTCCAGTGGCCATCTGAGCATTAAAATGCCTGAAGGCAATGATTATACTCACCAGAACAACTACATTAAGCTATAGTTTTTCTGGTGACTTTAAATTAGTGTGGGGATGTGACTTTTTTTACATTGAAGATTTTCCTGGTAAACGGCGACTTCTCTGTTTGAGTGAACGGTGAGACTGACAATCTTTCCATATCATAAAGATATCATAGTCCAGTTTAAACAAGGCAAAGCAAAGCAAAACAGTAAAAACAAAACAGTTTCTCTTTCTCTATTTTGACTGTCTGGTGCAAAGGACAGAGCTTTGAACAATGATTGACAGAGGCCCAAATGGAGTCTCCCACTTGCATGATAAAAGACGTGTGGATTTCTACATTTATTGTATTTTTTCCCACACCTCACATCTTTGGACCATAGGCATTTGTGTGTAGGGAAGCCTGGGATATAAAATAGTATGCACTGAATTCCCGCTTATGTTTATTGCAAGTTTAGATGGACTTTGTATGAACTCACTTCTGCCACGTACAGTTCAACACCAGAGCCACTTGTCTGCTTATGTCATCATGCAGTTAAGCTAAAAAATGTACTTAGAAGTTTTGTTTAGAAAACAAATCTAACATACGTCTCTATATTTTTTTTAAAGCAACACTTAAATATTTTTTTTTAATTTTTTTTAAATAGATCTGTTACTAAACATATGCCTCAATATCAGTCGTTTCTCTGTGGGAAAAAGTTAATTTCACACAGCGTGACTTGAGCAATCCTCGTTGAAGTACAACAGCTTTCAAATCTTGCTCCCTGCATCCATAAACACAAATCCGTCAGATTATTTGCAATCTTAATGGGACACTATAGTCATCAGAACAACTGCAGCTTTAGACCTTCCCCATAGGAAAGCATTGCCTCAATGCCAAACTCCATTAACCTGCAGGAAGCAGTACAGGGTTAAGGAAACGGGGACACTGCACGCAGATCACTTAAAGTAAATGAAGTGGTCTGTGTGCCTATAATGCATCTTTAATGCCGCATAATGCCTATAATGCATCTTTTAAAGTGTTTACGAAAATAAGAAAAAAAAGTTTGTAAAAAGTCCCAACTACTCAAGTATTTAAAGAAAAAGCAAAAAATAAAAATAAACAAAACCCACAACAGATGTCTTCCGATACAGCTAAAGGGTTAAGAGGTAGCACATCTAGGCACAGTGCTGGAGGGGAGAGAAAGACAAGTGATTAAGGGAGGGAACACTGCAGGCTGCAGAATAGGGAATGTAGAAAAGAGAGGGAATGAGAACAGAAGTCAAGAGAGCGTGAGAGAGGAGGGGGAAGAGAGAGGCAGAAAAAACGGGATGGTGGGAGAGAATAAAAAGGACATTGTGGGGGGAAGGGAGCAGAGAGAGTGCAGAGGATCAATGGACTGGCCACATTTCTAAACAACTCTCTAACGTGTACTGGTTCAGACTATGTTATTACCTCAGGGAACAGTTTACATCAATATTTTTCGCATTTTGTGAGCAAACAACATTTGTAGATTTTAAGAACCTGAGAATTAAAAATGTTTTTTTTAAAAAATTCATACAAAATCAGGTTGCAAACCCTACAGTATCTCTAATTTTTTTTTTTCTAAAAGGTACAATATCCCAACAGTAAAGAACACTACATGAATGTTTAGTGTAAATAAAATACATTTATTATCGATAAGTTAACAGCAGGTAACACTCGGAGAATAAAATCATCCCTGGAGAGCTTCGGAATTGTTTTAACAAAAGTATGTTTAGAATACAAAGAGAAAAAAAAAAAAAAACGCATCTAACATTTACAGGTTGTTTTAAGAAATATAAAGCATCAATGCAGTAATTCCTTCATAACAAGGTACAAATTAATTATGTGATTTTTTTTAAATAAAAAAATAAAACACACTAATCTATTGATAATAGCCCAATATTTCAAACTACAGTTCTAGAGCATCATGTCCCGGTTTAATATAAAACTAAGAACAGAAATCATCATCTGCCTCGATCTCAGACACATTGATTACACAAAATTAACACTTTTTAATTGAACTGGAGGACTTAGCCTACTTTAGGCAATCTAACCAAGCTGTAAGCAAACTGCAGGAATTAGGTTGTCCCTTTAACACTTGCACACAGTCATCTTGAGATATATATCCAAATTACCTTTTTTATTCAATCACCTACCCAATGCTTTCTGCACCAAGGACAATCATAACTTATTTGCCACAAGCTGTACACTGGCAGGAGATAAGAACTCATCCCATGAGTCCCTGTTCTCTTGGTTACCAATCCCTTGAGCCACTCTCGAGTTCATCCATAAAATAACAGATTTTCAACAAGTGTTTTTCTTAGGTCTACTGTAACCACATACAGAAGGCAATATCACAGCTAGACATATTGAGGATTATCATCAGAATCTTAATGCAGTTACATAAAGAGCACTTAAAGCACGATAAAACAGATGAGCCCACTGTAGGGGTTATAGTGCAAATGTCCATAGGTATCATTTAAAATGCAACTCGTATTCTGCCATCCACTTGTATCACAGCGTGTTATGAATTGACCAGAGCACATTTTATGCCAACATAGCAGAACTGAAAAGGCAGGAAAAAATGAATTGTGAATTATGTAAAATTTTAAAATATTGTATTTTTTATGAAGTCTCATAAAATTGCAGTTTTCTTTAGTAACAAATATTTGTTAAAGGAACACTATGGTATTGGGAATACAAAGCTGCATTCCTAACATTATAGTGTCCCACTGCCCACGCAACTATAAACTGTACATCCTTTATTGGCGTCATTTGTCATTGACTTTCACTCTCATAAATGTTTAAATATTCTTAAATATTCCTTGCTGACATCATCAGAATTTATGATTTTTAGCCAATCCAATGCTTTTCCATAAAGAGAAAGCATTCGATTGGCTGCAGTCAGCAAGCGGCATGGCCAAGCGCCAGAACCTCCTCATAGAGATGCATTGAATCAATGCATTTTTTTTTCCCTCTGCTGAAATTTTTAATATATATATATATATATATATATATATATATATATATATATATATATATATATATATATATATATATATATATATATAAAAAACTAAAAAAACCAAAACACAGGATTAATACAAGCATCAGAAGTGAAAATATATTTTAAAACTAATATTAAACAAATTTAAACAATATAAGAAGAAGTAAACAGCAAATGACTGCCAATAGGTCAATCCAAATCTGCAGTGCCAATGTGTCTGGGATGGGCAGAGTCAATTACTTTTTTTTTATTATTATTTGCAAAAAGTCATGGTACAGATATCACTGTTTTATATACATAGAATATTGAGAAGTGACAATTATCTGTATGCGTCAAATACATAGAAAACAAGAATTTGTTGATAACAATTGTCTGTATGGTTTGTGAATCAAGATGTGTTTAAGTAAATACAAAAACAAAGACAACCCTGGTAGAATGGTATGGAGTGTATGTTGGAAGTTTTCCCCTTCGGTTAGCTTGCCCATGCTATTGTGTCTTGCCCAAGGGTGCGTGTGGGATTCCCCCTCATGGGGAATGCTGAAGGTACGTGCACCACCAGGACCAGATAGATGTGTAAGAGTGGTATCTGTCTGAGAGGGAGTAGCAAATTTCCTCCATATTCCTAGTGGTTTCCACTCTTTGGATCAAATCTCTTATGGGCAGCGGGTTTGATTTTTTCCCAGTATATAGGGATCAATTGGTTTGCCGCGGTTATCAAATGTAGGAGTAGTTGAGTTTTTGGGAAAATTTGGGTGGGAGAAGGAAGATGAAAGAATCTGGAGTTGGGGTCAGTTTTTCCCCCAGTATCGTCTGTATGAGGCTAGAAATGCTATGAGGAAAATTCAGTGCGTCCAAGCAGAGCACTGCCTCAGCAAGCACATCCAGTGGCCATCTGTGGAGTCTAAATATAGGTCAATGTAGACACTGCGTTTTCTCTGAAAAAGGCAGTGTTTACATGAAAATGCCTGCAGGGAATGATTATACTCACCAAAACAACTACATTAAGCTGTAGTTGTTCTAGTGACTATAGTGTCCAATTAACCTCTACAGCACACTTTAGGGATTATGGTGTCAGTAGTCCATTTTAGAACAGTTTGCCTCCTTACCTGGGATCGAGTCCCTGCCCCCCCCCCTCCCCCCACTCATTGATCACACGATCTGACATGCACTGAAGGGCTCAGCGCATGACAGCTAACAAAAATTGTAGCAAGAGCTTCTGGGATCCCTGGAGGCGGGATGCGGCAGAAGTAAAAACTATTCGAAAAAGTACCCTGTAGTGGTTTTGGTGCTTTGAGTGTATCTTTCATACCGAGTGGGTGGGCATCTACCAGTCAACCAATACAGTCCACCCCTTAGTACAGGAGAGAGGAATATTTAATAAATAGTGGTCTACTGGACTGAGAAATGCCCACAAGGAGGTTTTAGGAGGCTCTTCTGCTCCTCACAGAATGTGAAGTAAGTGCTTAAAGCAACAAGAAGTACCTAAACCACTGCATCTTAATGTAGTGGTTTTTGTATCTACACTCTGCCCAAAGTCAATTTTAATGTAGTGTCTCTACAGTGGTGGAACTAATGTAGAGACGGTCCAGGTGCAAGAAAAAAAAAAAAATGTTAGGCCCCCTATTGCGCAAGAGTGACAATAGGTTAGATCCCCATGATGCTATGCCAGCTGGAGATCTACCATTTGTGTGCAGTGTTTGTGCGTTTTAATGTAAGCATGGTTTTTGTATATAATGTGTGCATTTAGGGGTGTATTTGTATGTACTGTTGTGATTGGAATGCAGTGGTGTACTTGTGTGTTTGCATTTGACTGCTAGGCAGTGTTTGGATGTAGTGTTGGCTTTTAAATGTGGATGTATAGTTTTGTGTAGTATGGTGTTTGAGTAAAGTGGTCGGTTTGTATACAAGTTTGATTGCAGTAGTGTGTTTGCTGTGATGTATGTACATGTACATACACACAGATACACACAAATTTTCCCCTTGAGGGTGCTCTGCCTGCAAGGGAGAAGATAACATCTGTTGCCAGCATGCACAGGTAAGCTGAAATACTGCACATACTAATTCCTACCACCATGAGCATTTCAGATCACTGAAGTGGTCATTGCGGATGGAGTAACCCTTAGATGTAGTGTTCATTTAATAGTGAATTTATTAAGATGCCTTTGTGCAGAATTAAAATTTTTTGTAAACACTCTTTGAACACAGTTCCATAACTATCCCCTGTAGTATGGTAGTGTGATTCCCACAGATCTCATTGTGAAGCCTATCATCTCGGATGTGCAAAGACACCAGCAGTTTGTGTCTATTTGAGCTCACTGCAGCCTCACAGTGCTCACTTGATACCTATTGCCTGTCACACACGTGTCTTGACGGAGGAAAGATTTACAACCGGGTGAGCGGCTCAGCGCAGCACCCAGGGCGAAGCATGCTGCGGCCTGGTCCCCCCACCCCCAACCTTATGGTTCCAGCACATGCCACAGGAAACTTTTTAGTTTTAAGCTACAGTTGCCTGCATGTTCCCAAAGTGGATACATACTCTTATGTCTGCATGGACTCCCTTCTTGCCCTCCCTGAGCATGGATGAAATGGCACTCTGTTTACTTACTCAGAGAACTCCGCCAATATTGCTCTGGTGCCCAGGAGGAGTGACAAGCAGAAGTTGCACTGCCTGGACCAAGCTGTGCCCAGTTGGCACCACTTTTGGTTTTGTGAGGGCCCGATGCTTCCCGTCGCTGTGATCCCAGCCGGCTGGACTGTGTTGTCCTTGCTGCCTGTGCAACCGAGGAGTAACTAGGGATGGAGGGGGTATATGGTAGCATCACATCTGCCTTGAGGTGACTCTACTGGGACAGTGGAGGTGCAAATGGTGGTTGATCTGAACTCTTGTGGGGAGGGGACTTGTGGACTGACGGGTCCATAGAGTGCCCAATGTGTTGTTCCATGGTGGGAGGTACAGATTGGTGTGGGAAGCGGTGGCAGGTCCTCTTCCTCAGGGGAAACTGGTGACATTCTGGGTATGTTCCTCTAGCCAACTCATGCTACTCCCTTGTCGGCCTCGAGATCAATGGTAAGCGGTGAAGGGATGTGTAGACTTCTGCTTATATCTAAGCCGATAACAATATGAGCAATCATCTTGCACCCTGTGGTAACATACATTTTCTTATGCATTTCCATTTTTCCCCCTCCTTCCAGTTGGATGCCTTGCACTACAAAATCCAACTGTATATTTTCCGCATCGATTTGCGGTTTCCGGAGCTGCATCCGCTACAGGCTACCCGAGGCAGCTACCTATATCATACAACCATTCCCTTTAATGCTGTCCACTAGACTTGTATGGAACCAGAGCAAATACATTTTTATCTACAATACTTGCATCAGTGTGGGGTGGTTTTTTTATGCCTGGATGAAAATACTTGGGACAAGGTCCGTGGAGGCACTGTTGCCCATTTGTGAGCCTTCACATAGTTGCCTCCCCCCTCCTTTTGTTTTTATTAACCAGGTCATTCATTTGGTATGACACAGCTGTCTACCTCCCCTATTGGCACCCAAGTATACATAGTCACTGGAGGTGCTTCCTGGAGTTTGATGGAGTTTGCACAGGGCCAGTACATCTTTGTATTACTAGCACTAAAGTGCTTCTTTGAAGAACACTCTAGGTTTTATAAACACTGTAGAGGTAAACACTGCAGTTTTTATTGTGCCTGGATTGTTTCTTTAAATGAAGTGGTCATGTTTTCTTAGTCCTGCAGTTAAAAAACAACCATTTAGCAGATATGCCAATGATTCTTCCTGACAGTTACTAGAAGATGCTTCCACAATGAGAACAGAGTTAAACTTTGTTCTTCAAGCAATGCTTCTCATAGAAAACATTTGATTGAACATGCATGGTGTTTTGATAAGCATGCTCTTCTGGTCCCAAATACTTTTCTATACGAAGCATTGAATTGTATGAGAGTTTGTAAGTCATCACAGTCTCACTGACAAAGACAGAAGCGGATAGGGCCTAGAGGTATCAGCTATACCACACTGACAAGGCCTATCAATGCTAAAACAATCAGGGGTTAATGTATCTCTGGTGCAAGATGGAATTTGACCTGGACCACTATTTCAATTGGGATCAGACTAATATATAATTTAGGCTCTCCCTTTAATGACACGAGATGAGCTAAAACCAGATTGAGAGCAGAGTAGGAATGCTCTAATACAGTGGATCCTAACTATTAGATCTGGACCCCAAAATAGGTCCACATGTTGTTTCAATGGGCCCCTACTGGTAGGTATTGGCACTTCATGTTTATTAATTGCCCAATAATACATTGTTTACTGTAACAGCATTGTGCTCTCCAGTGTGGTCAAGACTCCTTTAATGTGGTAAGTTAATCTCACGAACATTAAAAAAAAAAAAAAAATTAATAATAATAATAATAATAATAATAATATTTCACAAAATTTGGAAAGTTTTGTCTTTTATTGCTAGATTCGTCCACACCATGTGCACACAGCTTAAAGGGACACTATAGGCACACAGATCACTTTGTCTCATTGAAGTGATCTTGGTGCACTGTCCCTATCCCTTGAAGTCTAAAATAGAAGATGGATCTAGAATAAGGAGAGTGTTTAAAGGATGGAAGGCAGAGGAACACTTTAGTGTTAGGAATGTATGTTCATTACCAGGATGAAATTGCCATTATGATGACAGAGGTAGGGGTGGGCTTTTGGTATTAGGAAGAACCCCCAACCCAGTTTTGAAAAACACTTGAAAAATTAGTTGTTAAAATATGGAGGAACTGCACCACAGCATCTTGCACCAAAACCACTCTAAGCCGTAGTAGTTATGGTTCTTGGAACGTGCCATTAAAAAGAACAATTTTAACATTAGGAATAGAAAGCAGTTTTCCTCTGATCCCTGCTGGCAAATAAAGGGTTAATAACACCTTATTCTGTGTGTCTCCTCTGACTTCAGCATCAACATTTAGAAAATGTTTGTCATTTTCTATTAAATTAAAACTTTAGGCACCCAATAGATGTTAAGCCTCCCGCAGTCTAAGGCTGGGTTTAATTCTAATTTAAACGTTTGTGAAGTCTGTTAAACATGTGCAGTGTTATGTGTAGCTTCTTTATTGTAAATGTTTTAAGATATTGGGGTTAACCCCGAAGTCCATCAGCCACGCAAATATATATTATGGTAGAACTTTGTAGATAATTTTCATCTATACTTGTGCAGTGAAACGGACAATATAGGCACCCAGACCCTTAGTCTCATTGAAGTGGTCTGGAGGCAATGTCCCGGTCCCCTTAAAGGGAAAGTTTAGGCCGCAACAAAACAAAACAAAAAAAACAAAAAAAAAAAAAAAAACAACCACACAACAACTTAATCTAAAGCCAGTTTTGTAAATGGAGAGTCACTGATTGGCTGAGTCCCTTAGTAGACCACTCTCAGCCAATCAGCAGTGCCCTTGCCGGCAGCGCTCTGCACCTGAAACTGAAAATGAGAGTAGGGATCAACACTGGAGGCAACTTTAGTGTTAAACAGTTCGAGAATGGTTTAAACCCTTAAAGGACCACTATAGTGCCAGGAAAATATACTAGTTTTCCTGGCACTATAGTGCCCTGAGGGTGCCCCCACCCTCAGGGACCCCCTCCTGCCCGGCTCTGGAAGGGGGTAAGGGGTAAAAACTTACCTTTCTCCAACTTACCTTTTCTCCAGGTGCCTAGAGTGGTCCTTTAAGATGAGAATGCACCTGGGGGCCTTCTGGCATCATTACAACTTAATTCAATAAGGGACAGCTACACTGCACTCCTACCACGTCAATGAGCTGAAGTGGTCTGGGTGCCTATATTGTCCATTTAATGAAAAAAAAAAAAAGAAAAAGAAAAAAAAAAAAAAAAAAAAAAAAAAAAAAAAAAAAAAAAAAAAAAACACAAACAAACAAAAATATATACATTTTCTAAAAGTTTCAATGGACAAACATAGATAAAATGTTTATCTAGAAAGTGCTACCGTATGATATATCTGCACATGGCTGATGGATTTTTAAAATGTACAATAAAGAAGCCACACAACATTTCATATGTATACCAGACTGCACAAACTTTTAAAATATAATTAAACGCAGCCTTAGACAGCAGGAGGCTCTACATCCATTGTATATGGCCGCAGAATACACAGTTTGCTACGGTGCTCTAACTAAAATAACGTAATGTGAAAACAACACATTACTTTAACAAAAAAAAAATAATTATTAAAAGCGGGTTTTTTTTTTTCCCCCTTCAGCATGAAATGGGAAAATAGGACACAGACTCCCCTCAGAGCAAACTCAGTGTGTGGTCTGAATAAATAACAGGAGGAATAAAAGGAACAGTGACACTGGGTCAAGTAGCAGCATCCATCAACCACAGCATTCTCACAAATATAACCATCTCCTTTTAGGGCACATAAAATAGGACAGTACAGACAATCATCATGTGCTTACACTTGCTCTTATACAACATGATCGTTACAGATTAAACCAATCCCTTTTAAGTGGGTTAAAACACATTCTCTGAGAGGTTAGTACTAAGCATGGTTTCTGAATATGACATCATGCACATGCCGCATGCACCATTCACATGCTATACCCTGCTAGTGAATGATGGGTGGAGGCAGGGCCAGTGCAAGAATTTTTGCCGCCCTAGGCAAAGATCCATTTTGCTGCCCCCTCATGTCACACACTCACTGACAGTCAAACACTCACTCCCTGGGGTCCAGTATGGGGCATCTCCTCACTTCTCCCGCCGCTTAGTTTTCCGGGCTTGAATGATGTCATATTCCGGCACCCGGCATCACAGACGGCACGCAAGGGAGGAGTGAGAAGCAAGAACAGCTTCTCCGTCCCCCTCTCTGTCTGTCCCAGGGCAGGTCACTTATTTTTTGGCAGAGGAAGCACCTGCCATCAAGGTAAGCAGGTGACTGCCCTGCCTTACCTAGCACAGGTTCGAGGGGCGCCCTGAGGTGGCCCCCATGTGACAGGGCTCCTCTCTGCTCCCACATTCGGGCACCTTGAGGATTGGCCCGGCGCTGGGGGCGGCTCAATAGCTATTCTCCCACCGCTGCGGCCCCAGGCACAGAAACATCCCAGTAGGCTCCCCCAGCAGGCCAGTGCCCTAGGCAAATTCCTTGTTCGCCTAATTGTGGCGCCGGCCCTGGGTGGAAGCACCTCCTAGGTCAGGGGTAGACAAACCAGCACTCCAGATGGTTCACCAACGGCACTCGGCAATGTAAACACTAGCAAGGTTATCCATTAAAGTGAGAATTTAAAAGGTCAAAATGGAATGTTATGTTTTCAGTTTAGCGAATCTGGCCTTAAAGGGAAACTCCAGGCACACAGACCACTTCTGCCCATCGGACTGGTCTGGGTGCCAACTCCCACCACCCTTAACTCTGCAAGTGTAATTATTGCAGCTTTTATAAACTGCAATAATTACCTTGAGGGGCTAAGTCCTCCTCTAGTGGCTGTCTATCAGTAGATAGCCACTAGAGGGACTTCCGTGTTCTTAGAATACGAGAAGTGTTTTAAACGACGCTGGACGTCCTCATGCTATGCATAATGCTTTCCTATGGGGAGGTCTAATGCGCACAAGCGGCCATTGCAGCGCTTGCACATTAGGTTTCCCCCGCCAGCTGATGGGCAGAGACTGACCCAGCGCCAAGGGACATCAGCGCTGGATTCAGGTAAATGGGATGGGGGGGTGGGAGAGAGAGGGGCACTGTAGGGTCCTGCAGTGCCATGAAAACAATATGATTGTAAAATTAAAAGAACTCTCCAGTGCCAGGAAAACATCGTACTGTAGAGTTATTTTAATTTTACAAAATTGCTTTGAATTCTCTCAGGTTAATGAAGAACCCTATGGATGTCCTGCAATACAAAATGACCCTTATAGAATTACTACATATCACTCCAGCATCATGGAAGTCTGTGGTACCTCTTCTAGAATAAGCAAGCACCACCTCAACAGTACTCATCAGATGTACACAGCCAAGACCATATATTAAAACTAACATAACCCCCCTATCAAGGGTCATAGAGTTGGTTTTATTGTAGTAACAGGCTTAGCCGCCCATCCCAGAGAGTAATACAATGTAATCACTGTTAGAGTCCAATATAGTGTGCTATTGCAGGTTCCTACGGAATACCACACGTGCTTCAGAAGGGACCAGGAACCCCAGATATAATCCGGGAAAATGACTAAATAAAGGCTGAATGTCAGCACACAGGGACAGGATTCACTCACCTTTACAAAGAGCTCGATGAGGTTGTCTTTGTCCTCTAGAACTCCATTATGTTGCACAGACAGAGACATGCTGCTTCTCCCAGTAACCGTTGCTGCTACAATGTATCACAGCCAACTTCTCTCCTTATGGGATGCTTCCCCCTCACGCCCTCCCCCTGGTTTTCCTTTTACTCCTTCTCCTTGTTTGGTTGTATTTTTTTTTCCCTTGATGCCAACTCCCTGATCCCCCTCTCTTTTTATTTTCCCAGCCAGCACACTTTAGATTAGTGGAACTTGCTCCTTCCAGCCTTACACTTCCATCCAGTGCTTTATTGTTTTCTTTCTCTTTCAATCCACTGCTTCCAACACTGTTCCAGCCTCCTTATCTTATCTCTTCTCTAAATAGCAGACGGTTCTCTTTGTTAGAAGTGCACCTTATAGTGAATAGGTCTCTCCCAGTACTGAACCCCAGGCTCTGTCTAACGGGACTTTACAGAGAGGAGGGAGGAGGAGAGGAGGGAGGGGCAGCTAGCAAGCAACTGAATGATTAACCATTTCAGCCTGTAGCCTCAAAAATAAAAACAATTATTAACTAAAACGCCCCTCAAATAAGGTATTCACAAAGTTGCATGTATATAGTATTGGTAAACTTGCAACGTGTTTGTTTTAAAGCAACTGTGCGGTGTACAGTATTCAAATACTAATTTACAGAAAGAAAATTAAATATGGTAACCGAACTCCACTGTTAGGTGTCAGGTTCTAAAATTACTTTATTTAAAAAAGGGGAGGGGGGTCTGAATCTAAACCTTAGTAAAATATTTATTTTGAAAGTTAGTGTCCCTTCATAGTTAGAATGTTTCATTTGTGTGTGTTCGTTTTGTTTGAAATACTGCCCCCCTCCCCTTATAAATATATGCCCCTCAAAAGACTTACTTTTATTCCAATACTGAGACAAGTCTGATGTCACTATAGAAAAGCATTGGAGAAATAAGCCACATGAGCAAATTGCTATGCTCTGTAAATCCCGTGGTTTTCTATTAAAAAAGCATTAGCAGCATTTGGTACCATCATGCTGAGCAAAGATCAAATGGTTTAAGTAACCAGAGAAAAGGGACAGCATCATTGCACCAAAACCACTACATCAAGATGTAGTGGTTTATGTGCCTAGAGGTTTGCATTAAGAATGTATGTAGTCATTTTATCCAACTAAAAAATAATGGACTTACAGAATTCGGCATCTCCACTCAAGCCTAGGCATTGCCCCTCTTGATGTTTACTATATGTACATGCAAAGTTTATGCACTAAACTAAAAGTGTGTTGACAAGGGAATGGCAAATTTTAGGACAAAGCAACTGGAAAAAACAGGTGTGTTTGAAAATGCTTTCAATTCAGTTATTTTAACCAAAAGAATCTGGGTTTAGTCAATAAATCCTTCTGTATTATTGTATTTATCATGTGTATCTGTGTGAAAAGTGTTGGCTGTATACATGTATATTTGCGTTCGTAAAAGTGAATTATGCTCTTATTTGTATATCTAATGCGGTGTTAGGCAGCTTTCGGCACTCCAGATGTGGAGTTTACAGCCATTTTGCTAGCAAAGCATTAGTAGTCCACAACAACTGGAATGCCACTGATTGCCTACCCCTGGTCTAGTGCCAGTGTGAATGCATGTGTGTTTTTGGGAAACGTGACCGTTAAAATGCATGGGTTGTTATTTGCAGTATGGGCATGCGTGTGTGTGAATGCAGAAATTACATGTAATTCAAGTCTGTGATAGCAGGGGTATGACTGTGTGTAGCTGTTGGATGGGTGTTTTAGTTTAAGGGTATATTTATGAATAGTGTAAGGATATGTGAGTGCAGGAGTGTATTTTTATCTACTGTAAAGATGAAAATTTGTCTGTGTTTAGTGTCAGTGTGCATAGCCCTGGGCCAGCAAAAACTGTGGGCCCAACTTAAAGGGACACTATAGTCTCCTGAACAACTTTAGCTTAATGAAGCAGTTTTGGTGTATAGAACATGCCCCTGCAGCCTCACTGCTGAATCCTCTGCCATTTAGGAGTTAAATCCCTTTGTTTATGAAGCCTAGTCACACCTCCCTGCATGTGACTTGCACAGCCTTCCATAAACACTTCCTGTAAAGAGAGCCCTATTTAGGCTTTCTTTATTGCAAGTTCTGTTTAACCCCTTAAGGACACGACATGTGTGACATGTCATGATTCCCTTTTATTCCAGAAGTTTGGTCCTTAAGGGGTTAATTAAGATTTTTTAAAAAAATATTTTTATTTATATATAGGTATATATATAGTGATATATACGTATATATTTATGTATATAGATATATATATTATTTCGTTCTACGTGTATTTTGATATATATATATATATTAATTTCACAATACAGTTAGAACGAAATAACACACATCTATATATTTTTAATTATTTATTTTTAATTATTTTTTTAATTTTATTTTTTAACGTATTTACATTTTTATTTTTTTTATATTATATATAAATATATATAACAATAATTATATATATATTTAATCAGTATCAGTCTACGTGTAATTTGATATTTATATATATATATATAATTATATATATATTAATAGTAAAATGTGTACATGTGTGTATGTGTGTATGTATATGTGTATATATATACTTAGATCATATATATATATTATATATATATATGATCTAAGTATATATTATTATTTTTTTTACACTTTTAACTTATTTTTATTTTATTTTCAGCCAGCAGGGGGACCACCTGTCATTACAGGCAGCCCCCCTGCTGGCAATACAGAAGCCAGCTATCCCCGGCCATGTGATTGTGGGGTCCTCGCAAGGACCCCACTCTCACACGGCCGGGGGGGCTTCGTGGAGGACGGACGTGCCGCGGGGGGCTCCCTGGGAGTCCCCCCCACCGCGATCGCCGGCGTGGGACCGCCGGCGACCGGGTAAGTTCCGAAAGACCGGAGGGCGTACTATTACGCCCGGCGGCGTTTAGAGCCGCCTATAATAGGGCGTAATAGTACGCCCTCCGGTCTGAAGGGGTTAACTCCTAAATAACAGTGAATTGAGCAGTGAAATTGCAGGGGAATGATCTATACACTAAAACTGCTTTATTTAGCAAAAGTAATTTAGGTGACTTTAGTGTTCCTTTAACCTTAGAGAACCCCTCATTGATTCGCCAGGTCTGTGCACACTCACAGATGCACATGCACACAGCAGACTCACACACACAAAGCAGATTGCATACACACAGCAAAATGCTCATGTGCAGATGCTTGTACAAACACACATAGATGCATTTTGTTATTCCTTCAACTTTTAACCTTTGAAGGAAAGGTGTAAAGTTCTTTGCTTTCCTTGATGTCAGTGTTGGGGGTGCAGGAGAGCTGAGTGGGGCTGGCTGAATATTGTGTACAGAGAGTAGCCTGAGTTGCTGAAGGTCAGGTGTGTGGTGGAGGCTGTACTGTGTGTGTTAATGGAGGTGGTTGAGTGTGTGGGTAAGTCTTCCCCACACATTTTTGTTTAATATTTTTTTTTACATCCACCCCTTCTGCATACCTTTGGTCAGAAAAAGGAAATAATCCTTGGTGGTCCATTGGAGGGCATTCCCTGGTGATCCAGTGGAGGGCATTCCCTGATGGTCCAGTGGAGGGCATTCCCTGATGGTCCAATGTAGGGCATTCCATGGTGGTCCAGTGGGGGAACATGGTGGTCTGCACCTCTATTGAATGTAGATCACTTTTAGAACTCCCTCACAGTAAAAGTGATTAGTCATGGACTCAGAGCACTGGCTGCAATGATTCACTGAGTCAATAGGGCATTGAGACGATTTTCCTACCTGTCAGATTTCACTACCCACATCACATTAAGTGACACAGATCAGCTGTTTCCTGTGCAGCATATGCCTGCTAGCACTCCTGATGGGTAGGAAAATCTGATGAAGGCTGGAAGCATGCGCGAGAAACCACCACATCACTCCCAGTGACCCATACAGACACACACTGACCCATACAGACACACACAATGACCCACACAAACACACACTGACCCAGACAGACACACACTGACCCATACAGACACACATTGACCCATACAGATACACACTGACCCAGACAGACACATACAAGCTAACCCACACAGACACATGCTAACCCACACAGACGCACACTGACCCAATACAGACACACACTAACCCATACAGACACACAATAACCAACATAGACACACACTGATCCCATAGAGACACACACTGACCCAGACAGACACACAGTCACCCAGACAGACACACACTGACCCCAGACAGACACACACTGACCCAGACAGACACACAGTCACCCAGACAGACACACACTGACCCCAGACAGACACACACTGACCCAGGCAGACGCACACTGACCCATACAGACACACATTCTCTGAAACATCTACATTAACCCTCTTACCTTAATTTCACATATCAGTGCTGTTCATGTGTTTCAAGCATCTTCAGTGCGACTAATTGCCTGGCAGCGGATCATTCTCCCTGTCAGCCCCACTGCTATACTCCCGCCCATTTCTCCTCACTTACAGGGCAAGGGCGGGAGAAAGCTAATAATGCGCCCTTGCGCTGCCGCAATTCATGTCTGGGAGGGTGCCATGCATTGCTAGCTTAGGTGGATGCCACCGGACCAGTTTTCTACCGGGCGCTAGTCAGCAGTCATGTAAGTGCTCCCTAGCGCCTGGTAACATGGCCGGCAGCCTCTATAAATAATACAGATCGATTGTGGGGGCAGCCAGACGAGCACTAAAGCCACTACTGGCGCCCCCACTTAAGTGGCGCCTTAGGCAGCCGCCTAATTAGCCTATAGGAAGCGCCGTCCCTGGATGCATCATGATAGTACATCTGACATAAGAAAAAAGAAAGTCCTTATCTTATATATGGTTATTAAAGGATTCTAGGGATCAGAGGCGTACCTAGGGTCTCCAGCGTCCTTGGCAAGGAGCTGTATCAGCGCCCCCAAATGAAAAAGTTAAATTTAAAAAAAAATTCTTGTTTAGAACAATTTAAATAATTTTCTAAATTTTTAAAGGTGCTGTTCCTATATAAGTTCTCCACCATGTAAAGGGAAACTAAGGAAATATATGTAGCATTATATTTTGTTTCCTAATCCTCCCTGTTAAAAAAAAATGTATAAAAAGGAATTGAAAGTTCCTGAAGTTTCCAGCAGTCACTCAAAGTTCTCTGCACTATATGAAATCACTGCAACTAGTAAACATGAAATAGCAAAACTCCATATACAATGCTTTCCCAATAATGCCAATAATAATCTGTGTTATCAACCTCAAATCATAAATATATATTTACACACATAATTAGACTTGTCTGATGATGGTGATGTGCCAGAGCAATGCTTGTCACCATAAAGGAAGCATAGTAGAGGCACATCACACCTTATGACAAGCACAACATTAATAAATCACACCTATTACAAGCATAACACTG